TTTTGGGGTTTTTGAAAATATATATACCAAACCGGTTTGGTTTAGATAATATTATTTCATATCCATCTTCCTATCTCTTCTTCCTTTCCCACTCCCATGGTTTTCTTTTCCTCTCTAAAAGAAACGGAAGAGAAGAAAATGAACACAATGGCCTCCGGTCCTCACAATTTTCCAGCAGATTTATTTAGGCAGAGAAGAGAGAGATGGAACGACTGTGACGTTCTCGAGGCGGAGAAGAAGAAGGGTTCCATGTTAGGTTTCATGTGGAAGTTCCTTTGGGATCAGATCAAGGTGATAGCGATGTCATCGACATGTACATATGTTAGATGTTTAAGTTGAGTTTGTATTCCGATACGTAGGTAGGTAATCTGAATTCAGATTCGTATTTACCAGTGAGTATCATCAAGTGTAACAATAGAGAAGTTAAATTAATGATATTGTATAAACATCAAGCTAGACCGAGAGTAATACCTCATTCAGTACTTCAAAGAATGAACAATGGCTACATCAAATTCATAGCCATTCACAAGGTCTATAACCTGTTGTTGAGAAATAGGGAGTTTAATTTCCTTGTTTTTTCTTTACCATGTCAAAAAATCTCCAGGCCTTCTTGTTTATCCTGATCCTTGTATCATGCATGATTCACTGAGAAGACGATATCTTTCATCATGAAATCATTGATCACCATAAGGTAGAAAACAGCAAAAAGAAAATACTGTCCTCCTATATAACATGCACAATCAAGCATACAGCAAGTGGAAGAATGGTTAAATACAATACAAGAATGGCTAATCTATCAAACTTACACACATGGATGCATGCATACAAGAATGACTAATCTATCAAACTTAGACACATCTACGCAGACAAGAATGATATCACAGAAAGAATGGATCTATGTCTTCTGCAAATAGCATCCTCATCAGTCATCATACTATTTATGGGTTAAAATGTCCATCTTGAAGTGACCAACCTGGCTGACTACCTGGAAAACCTATTTCCACTTGTAACTAGAAGCTGCAGCCTGGTGTCAATGATTGTCTTCATCGTTCCGGATGTCATGCTCCACCCGCAAATTTGTTGATTAATCGAGATAAGAGAGCTACGAAAAACCCCAAGATAGCACCAGCTGTGACCTGAGAAAATGTAACAAGATGGAGCATAGTTTATTGTTAAGATAGAGTTACTCTTAAATCATAGAATCTAATGGTTAAACTATGATTACAACCTAGACACTAAGCCAATCCAATTAATTTAGGTTGGCACACAACATTTGAGGAAAAGTTGCTCTGACAGTATTTGCAAAATGCTTAATTTGCCATTATAAAAGTTGCCAATCAGGGGAAAACAAAGATACTTTGACCATTAGTAGGGCATCGATAACCATTTGTTAAGAATGAGAAACAATCTATTGGGACATCGGTTTGAAGTAGAACATGAAAACCTGTTAGTTTGAGAAGGTAGTAATTAGCAATGTGTGTGTACATGTTCATATTCAAGAGAACAAGATGTTCCATGTTGGATGGTCAATAGCTATTAGGCATACAAGTTTACAGCATTGTGTGTCAAACCTGAAGAGGGGTATGGCCAAGAAGTTCATGCAGCGGTCTAGTGTCAGCCAAAGGATGTTCTTCTGGAAGTTGATACACAATTTGATTCAACACCTGGGATGGCAGAAATTAACAGAAGCTATTAATGCAAAAGAGACGAGCAGTTCATTTTCAAAACTGTAAGATACCTTTGAAGGATAAAAAAACTAGCAAGCTATTATTCCATAACTAACACATTATTGAAATATTTTGGAAACACTACAAATTTTTTTTATGAATAAGATGGATCAATCACCCTAGACGCAAGGTTTGATACTAGCTCATATTTTAGTATCAAAATGGTTGATGAAATTAAAATGACGACCACATCTCACTTCTGTTTTCTTTCTCTATACTTCTGAAGCATTATGCTATTGTATTCCTGATGAATAGATCGAGGATGCTTGTCAATTACTTGTTATGTTTTATCATGATTTATAACCATGGCATCCTAAAGAGTTTTGAAGAGTTGTTACATATAATATTAATTTTTTAATTGCTCTATGCATGTCGTATTGTATTCTCTCTTTTTTTCAATATTTTGCATATTAAGGTGTCTATATTCTGTTCTACTAGTTTTTTGTATCAGTATCTTGCATCCTAAGCCAAGGGCAAGCATCAAAGTTGCAAATGAAACATCAGGCTAAAATAGACCTGCCATTTCCTGTTCACTGATTTAAAATCTATCCTAATGCATCGCCAACAAAGATGTGGCTTTGTTTGTAGCAAACTCTCTTGGATGATAGTGCTACTAAGAAGAATAAAGAGAACCAATTTAAAATTTCCAGTAATCACAGCCTCAACAAGCAACAATGCAGATCAACATATTTATACCATCAAAGCAACAAAAGAATACTGTTGCTGGTTAGATGAATGGTATCAGGTTTTAAAATTTTTCGGCAACAAAAAGCCGATTTTCTATCTATATAATCAACGATCTATTTAAGGGTTCAATTTGGGGTACCCAGCATGCGGTTTATGTTAAGTTGCCAGGAGCCTAATTCATGTTTTCAAGTTTGATTAAGATAGTAGTACAAACCCAATAAAATCTAAAACTGCGACATAAAACATCTTGGGCAAAAATTTATGGAAAAACCAACATGCAAGCACCTAACTTGCACTTAGATTAAGATGAAAGTGTATTGGCTCGTATTATTATTGTAAACTTGGACAGAACATCAGCAATATTGGTGTCCAATACAATTCTTAAAACTTTTCTTATTTTAGGTAGGATGTAATTATGCTGTTCACAACTCCACATCAAAGGACCAGTTCACATAAGCCAGCTTGCACCAGCGCACTAACAGATGCTTATAGTCTAGCTCCAAGTTAGTAAGACTCCGGCCACTTTTTGTATCATGTTGGCCCTAACATTACTATGATCACAAGGGATACTGAAAAGGAAACTTTTGAAAGCCATGATGTTATTACATACCTCTGCCTGCTTTCCAGCATGCAGTCGAACACCAAAAGCATCATACATTACCTGCCAATGAGTGGTGCACCCAAAATGTCATTACTGAGTGAAATCAAGCTTTATGACAATGAAAAGACAATAATTTAACTAATAAAAAAAAGTCATCATTTATCCATTAAACTGCTATGAAATCACTGGACCATGTTGGCCATGTGAGAATGGCAAATAAATTTGAGCTTCTCAAAAGAAATGGTCATAAGACAGCAAACTTGCCCAATTTCTATAATTTTCTAGAAATGGTTATGAACTAAGTCAAACATGGCCAAATGACATAAGAAATTAGGATATGTTCGATAAGAAGATACCTGAATACTTCCAGTCTTAAGGCATAAAAGGAGTAATGGTGCACTATCACCCTCCTTTTTTTACTGTTTACCTCAATTTATACAAGAGGCTGATTAGGAACTTAAAGTAATAAAACACAACTTATTCTTAAATGGAGTTAAAGTTAGATGGCAAACATAATCATACATATTATATATAACCACAAATTAAATAATAGAACTTAAATATGATGAAACTAACATAAAACCAGAAAACTCATGTCAGATGTGGTATGATTACAGAGAAATGAACTCCCAACAAACCTAACATTGAATTTGTGTTGCACTAGAATAATCTGTGGGTGCTTTAATATTGGAGCCCTTTGACCAAAGGATGACTAACATGGTTGCATTTTCTGATCATGCTCAGATACCAGTATTAAGCATAACAAGAGGAACAAGGATTTTCAAATTGAACAACAGTTGTAGCAGGAAAGCTTATAACCTAATATTAATAGAAGGCCCTACGAGAAGTTTTCCTTGGACATTGATGGATGGATATGTAGGTCCTACGATACAAATAAATCAAAACAATGGTGACTATATGCGAAGTTGCAAATAGTTTTAGATTTATAGTCTTATCCATATGTGGTTTCAATAAAACAACTTTCTAGGAAATCATATTGAAAGAGAAAGATGGTGAAGAAGAAATAATAAGGAAATATACTTATGGTTTTAACTTTTAAGACACTGTTGTAGAATAGACTACATGCCAAAACTTCTTAATATAATACTCCTTTGAAGTTTGAATATCCATTATTCAGATATTTCTTATTTAACATTTTGTAATTTATATGTCCTCTTGATGGCCATACTTAGAAGGTTCAGATCACAACTTGCTGTATCTGATTGTCAATGCCAAATCATGAGAAATGTCAAAATGCAAGGTCATTGATACCAATATATAAATCTTAACAGTTAAGGGAAGGTTAATAGAAGTTTATCATTTTATGGTATAACCGATCCACATGTGATGTGCGAATAATGAAAGTTGTGTACCATAGTCAATAGCTAGGTATGGATAGGGAGGCATGGAATACAAGGTAAGAAATTTAGCATATTTTGACCAATTCAAGGTAAAAAAAGGATTGCTTCCTTGGCAAAACCGGGATAAAGTTAAGCCACAAGTTCCAGATTCAAGACAAATTCATGAGGAAATTTTATCTCTTTAAGATCAACTCCGGCATCAAGATATTGGTTAATATCAAAACCTTATCCTTTCATTACTTTTTATTTAGCATTGGCATCTAAAAGCAAAGGGTCGAAGTTTCTCATAGACATCCTACATAATTCCACAATCAACTAAATATAATGTCACATGGATTTGCATAGTGACCAAAGATTAAGAAACAAATATGTGGTTTGAGATACATGACAAATGTGAACTTTGGCAATTCACATGTGGATACCATAATAGAAAATCTTATACAATTAAAATACGTAAAGTTTTATATAAGTTCAAGACAAACTTTGGAAAATTGGCTCATTTGTGTAATCATCCCATCAAAGCATCAACATGTAGTTATAGTTACAATATTTATGAAAAAAGAAAAACTAAGTGGGACTTACCACAGATGCAAACATCGTTGCTGTAGCAAAAGCAGAACTACCCAAGCCATCTTGAATTCCAATAGCTACTGCTAGTGCTGTCACTGTTGCTGAATGGGACGATGGCATCCCACCAGATCCAATAAGCTGCTTGGCATCCCAGCGTCTTTCCTTATACCTGTGAATCTAATAATGATTATCCATACAAATGACTTTTATTTCGAGCATTGATGCTTAGAAGAACCATCATACAAATTGTTCATACAGATCCGCCAAAGATGAATTAGAAAACTACAATCATGGAATGAAATTCTTGTTTGGTGCTATTATTGAAACCCAGTAGACCAGTGCTATTATTTCGGTGTAATTCATGTACTCGATCAGTATGGTTATGGAGAAGGAGATTGGGAGAATGGCTCAGAGGAAAAGTAAAAGAAATGCTTCCCTTCCATGATTGCAGGCAATTGTCTTGTTCTGTTTCTCTTCCTCCGTTAAATTTTTGCTTTGATGAATCAATCATTGAGCAATCATACAAAAGCAACAATTACCATCAGGGAACGCCTAAAGGTCCTCTTTTTGATCTATATAACATAATATCTAAGCAGTACAGATACACGGCTAGAAAATTGCGGCATCGAACTCCTCAGCCAAACCAAGCCCGGTCAAGAACTAAGCTTTCTAGAACGAAACATGCCCGAAGTCCAGATCAAGATAATAGAAGCCAGAAAAAGGCACTGAAGAGTCCAAAGATCTCAATTCTCGAAGGATCTCAATGAGAGAGCAAACGTAGCAGGTCACATACCAGGTGGTGAAGACCTTGATCGATTGGGCGATGGCGAAGGCGAGGATGGCCGAGATCAGCGGGTAGTTGTGCAAGACGGGGAAGTAAGGGCTCGATAACGACGGCGATAAAGAAGAAGAGCTCTCTAATCCGTTCATCCCTCTCATGGTCGAAGGATCAAAGCAACGCTCGTCTCACTCATCACTATATATACACTTATTTATGCAGATCGAAGACTGAAATGGGAGAGAAGCAAGATGAATATGCTTGCTTGGATCCGATTGGAGGCTCGAATATGCCGCCGACGGCAGGAAATTGTTCCTTTCAAGCTTCGACATGGGGATAGAGACTTTTACCTACACGGCACCTATCTACCCATTCTCTGACATTGCTATCCGCTCCAGTGGGGCCCAACTATAAGACAAAACCTGATCCGAGTCACATGACAGGTACGTCGCGTTGGGTAGAAACGTATCCTTCTGAGAAGAGGATCATTGTTTCGAACGCTGCTAATCGAAGCTACTCACGCAACTACGTACGCGTAATTTGACATTCCACATGGGGCCCAAACGTAAGACACATCCAACTCGAGTTACAAGACAGGTAGGATAATGGGTACGTCAGCAGTTTTAATTGTTACGTATATATACATAGTGGCAAACATGTTATTTTCTTGCGTTTTATGAATATACACGTAAAACCAGAACTTAGTGTCGTGGCAACGACTGGTATTGTCTGAATCGTCCGACGTATGTCCGACCACCGCCGGATGTGATCTCGCCCACCATACCAACCGAAGAGAAAAGGAGTCGGGAGTCGCTTACTGCACTCCGCCCCTCTCTCCTCTATGGCGAGATTTCTCCGAATCGCTTCCCCAAAGCGATGTCTCTTCTCAACGGAGGTTCTTCCCTTCTCGCTCCCTCTTCGTTCTAATGTTTGCATCCTACTAAGAACATATACGTTCCTTCTTTTGGATTTCTCTATTCTGTTGCATTTGTGTGCAAGGAGTGGTTTTTGGTAGGATAACAAAGCTGATGGGTAGTAGGAATACGGTAATTTTGCATAATCTAGCCAGTGACTTGCCGATGTTGAGGACTATTCTGCTCTTCTTGTTGGAAAGAGAGAGAAACGAATTATCAAGAACGAATTTGATTCTAAGGGGTCCAGGTTTTGAGAAATGGATTGGCCTTCTTTTTCTTTTCCTTTTGAAAATTGTTTAATTTGAAGAAGTCGTGAGTTGTTTTGCTTGTTCATGGTTGATGAATAAGTCGATCATCTGGTGGATCATCATGACCTTTTGGTATCCATTAGTAATTTCAAGGGTTAGTGATAATTAAAAGAAGGAAAGGTGTTCTGAGAAGGGGAAACGAGGATTTCTGGATGGTTCTTCTCTAGGAATCAGAGTGGGCTTGCAAGAGATGAGGAACAGGGGATTTTAGGGTTCTGTAACTCGAGAGAGTTTCAAAGTGCTCTTTCAGAGAAGGTATGTGTGGAGACGAGAAACAAGGGGTATAACTCAAGAGAGTTCAATATGGCTCTTTCAGAAGGGGAAAAGAATTCCATGTTCTTGAAGGATGTGATAAAGTGACCTTGTGCTTCACACCTGCTTACACATAATCTGGAATGGGTTTGTGTATAATTATCGAAGAACTATTTGAATTGGAGAAATCTGCTCAGTCTCTGTCCATAGTTTTGTGACGTGTTAGGTATAAAGTAGAGGCGGCTTCACAGTTTTGGATAATTGATAGAGTTATCAGGTAAATTTGTAAAATCTGAAGGTCAATTGTTCACGACGTAGGACAAGACTATACTTTATTTTTTGTACTTGGGAATTTTTGGATCTTTTGAGAGTGTCTTTGTGTACTTTGTATGTTATATCAAGGTATGTAATTTCAAATAATATCGTCCGGTATGGGCGGTACATATCAGTCCGTCAGCTGACCGGTATACGGACCGTCCATTACCGATCGGAACGATATATATATATATATATATACCGCTCGGTATACAATATCGTACCGTTCCCAACGAACGTCAAAACTCCGTACGGTATGATATTGCATACCTTGTGTTATATTGTAGGCATTTTAACTATTCTGCCTTTGCTGGTGCTTGTGATCGCCACTCTTGAACATTTGGAGCATTTGGGAGTCTCTTTGAGTAATACTTATTGTGTTCTTCATTCTTACCTGGTTATAATGTTATACTATTGGTGTTGTAACTCTTTTATCTTTGCTAGTGCTCTCAGTTATCTCTTTTAGAAGTTACGCTTCCCTTTTCCCTAAGAAAGGATGCATGAAATTCTGTGAGATATCTTTATTGAGGTTTAGACTTTTAGATGTCTTCCATGCCAGGACTCGACCAAATAGACTCATTGTCCGCTTAAAACAATATTTCAAAATTTTAACACGTGGTTAAAAAATATTAAGCTTGAACTACTAGTAATCAGCCCATCTAACGATCCTACTTTGTTTGGTGAACTATCCATGGAGTTGTCTACATTTTGTTAAAACTTGCTTTTTCCATTGTGTATTGTTGGACAAGTTACACCTTTTGTTTACTGGGACAGATTGATCTTGGTTTTTTTAATTAAAATAGTACATGTATGAGTAAAGGTCCTTTTAATTCCTTGTATGGTTCCTTTGGCTCATTACTTGAACTTTTCATAAATGGCTATGTTGGTTTTAGCAACCATCATAAGTCTATGACAGTCCATATTAGTGCCATGGTTAAAAGAAACTGATTTTTGCTAGATTAAGTTTATAGACACTTTTGATACTGGTGTTGGTTGTCTGATATGGGTGCTTATATATGTCTGCGTATTTCTGATAATATAAATGAACTATGTAATTTGCACAAATCTTTTCTCTCATCAGTGGCCACATGAACTTTGCCAATAACCAACTGGGCATTGCATTTTAATAATTAGATTTTAGAATACTAGACAGATCAAAAGGCTTGTAGAGAATATTCCATGGATGAATATGGGACTTACCTCAAACCTATAAATGACTTTCTTGTTGTATGTGTAAAACATTCCTTTCATTTCACAAAAGTTAAATTAGGTATAAAATCTTCAAATTCTTATGTGCTTTAAGCATGGCTTCTATCATTTGGTATATTGTTTAAACTTTAAATTTCCTTTTTTACTGTGTACCATTTTCTTGCTCCTGGCAGGTCTATAAACAAGGAGTGTTGGGCACTCTGTTTCAGTTATGCAATTTCTCTTCTAAAGGTGCTGAAACATTTTTTTTCTATATCCTTATATGAAAATGCATGCGTAATTTTTCAATATAACAATAGACCTAATTTGATTTTGTTTTGGTGAATTCCTTTAGCTAAATTAATTTCATGTTGGGCAAAAGGTGTGTCGCTATATGGTCAAACTTTCAACTTCATATTTTTGCAGGTTGTGTCGCAAGAACATTCACCTCTGATACATTTTCTTATACTGGATTCCGTATTTGGTTTTTTGTGCTTATTAATCCCTAGGTCCTTCTCTGAAGATTGAGAACTTGCGAAGAATTTTGTGGCTGTATATGTGTGCGCTTATGTCTTTTGTGATCATTAAATTATTTTTTTGTTCCTTTTTCTGCACTTGAGAAGCCAGCTTCTGTTGAAGTGCATAGCAGACAGCAGTTTTGAAGCTTCAACCTCAGGCTGATACTTACTTTAGGTGAACAATGATTTCTGTAAGAGATCAATATCACCTGACACTACTTAGCATTGGGATACTTATCCATTAACTTGAGTTGGCAAGTTAGCTGTTTTTTGCTGTTGGAGACTGTTTTCTCTATCCCTCCCAACTTTTAATGGTTGTCATGTCTTCTAAAGCTGTTCCAGCACCTTTAATGTTGCGATTTTTGTCTATATGATGATGAAGCTGCTTCCACCAGCTGTCAGTATCTATCATTTGATTGAGCTTCTTGTTAGAGTATGATGGTGAATGGACACATATTCATGCATTCAATGCCTTCATTCTTGTATGTCTTTCTCTTTCTCACTCTCTTTTTTCTTTTTTGGGAACTATGAAGATCACAGAAACTAAATTACTGCAGGGGTGCGTTAGAGGATTGGTAAAACAGAAAGTTTCACTGACCAGACTTTAGTCTAATGGTTTCATCCTCACCCTCTAGAAGTGGTTCCTTATTCAATTCTTGGGAGATGTTTTTCAACTATTTATATACTTCTATGATGGTGTTTCATTGACAAGCCAATAGTAAACCATGAATATAGTAATTTTGCAGCAAATAAAAATTTGGAGCTTTAAGTTTGTTTCTGTTGTAAGGCTAGATTCATCACTTATTAAATCTGCATGCTTATTGTCAAACAACTAGCTGTTGTATTCTTCTTTGGCAAATATCATCTGTACTCCAAGAATGGTATTAATGTGATATTTTTGACCTCCTTATCCTATCGTTTCTTAGTTGGTGTCTAATTTGTTTTTAAAATTGGCTATTTAACTTTTGGATGATACGAACCGAGCTTGCAACTCTTTCTATCCTAGGAGGAGGAAAATCAAAGTCAAATGGAAGTGGTTCGGGTGAGGATAATATTTCTAAGAAAGACCTGGCTCTACAACAAGCCTTGGATCAAATAACCGCTCAATTTGGTACAGGGGCAATCATGTGGCTTGGTCGTTCGCATGCTCCTAGAGAAGTTCCTGTAGTGTCAACAGGCTCTTTTGCATTGGATATAGCATTGGGCATTGGTGGTCTTCCAAAGGTCATTAAGAATTGAGATTTAGTTCTGGAATGATTTTTAAGATGTTCTTGATTGAATTTTTTCTCATGTTCTCAAGTAGAACCTCTTAATGAGGTCATTTATCATGGATTTTTCTGATCCCAAATGTCTTTTTCTGCAATAGATTGACAGAAAAAATGTGCACTGCAACATTTTTTATTGTTCTAGTTTATTGAATATAGTACCAGATAATCTAAAAAATGTGGCCTCTATTTGCAAGTATTGTCTAAATGTGACTTGCATGTTTAGGTTAGATTATTGCTTTTGAGTTTTGGAATTTCAGAATAACTAGCAAGAAGCCGAGAACCAAATTTCCCTTTTCCGTTCATGCTCTGGATATTAGTTCAATAATGATGCAGATCTGTCATGTAATAGCCTAGTAGACATAAAGGTGCCCCGCGTTTGTTTCTTTTTTTTTTTTTTTGCAGCTTTAGTGCCATCAGGACACTTACATGATACTGAGGTCTGAAGTGAAATACGGAAGGTCCTAACTTGGATTAAGGAAATTTTACTGTAGAAACAGACTAAAATTTGATTATAAAAAGGATAAAAAACAAGGATGATGTAAGGGCCGTGCCAACTGAGCATCATAACTTAAAAAATAGTTCAACCACCTTGTTTTCACAGCTGAGGCATAATTCAAACCGAGTTAGGTTTTTAGACTTCTTGGGCTCGGACTTATTGACACTTAGAAAGGATTAAATATGATACAAGTTGCTTACTTTTCCTTTAGATGTACCAGATTAATGGTCTGTGGATAGTCCAACTGATATTGGATTGAAAGTAGCCTAGCTATCTGGACGTGCACACTTATTATATGTACTATATCTTTACATGTATATGCACAATAATTAGGATTTGATTTCCATCAGAATCTAAATTATGATATATGCTGTTATGTGTACATTTACATTGGGGAAAAAAGAGTTGAGATTCATTGGTACATAGATCATCCTGGAACTCTTTTATTGTCCGAGGACACATTGTATGCCCCACTTCTTGCATTAGGTATGTGTTACATTTGTGAAGAGTTTCTTCTCCTCGGTTTACCTATAATTTCGCCAAAAGCCCTCGAAAAGTTTCATATCATAAATTTGCCTCAAAAGTTGGATTACTTTTATGAATTTCCTTTTAGATAAAGATGTTCTGGTTTCATTAAAAATTATCCATGTTAAATTAGTATTATAATTGTAAATTACCCTTCACTACCTTAATGTCTTGTGCATGCTAGTTTACTTGTATCCTAATATACCTAAGGAAATAGTGTAAGAATTTGTTGTTTCAATCGACTAGCCATGTCATAATTTATTAATACCATTTTGTCATTTATGCATAGCGTGTTATGTCTTATGCATTCCATGATCTTTCATAACAGATTATAGGAGTAGAAGTCTTTTGATTCTGTTGAAAATACTGTGTTTGAATTTCTTAATGCTATACTAGGGTTTATTTACTTGTGTCCTGATATAGCTATCGCATACCATGCTAGAATATAACTAGTACTGGAATACTTTATTTTAGTGATGCATACTGTTTTATATTCAATGCATACCATGCCGTGTTATAACAAATCATAGAATGTTGGTGGTGGACATGCCATTAGAGATGAAGGTGATGAGAAGGGTAGTGGTGTTAGCAAAAGGAGAATGCAGAGGATGCACGGTGGTGATTGCTTGTGAGGAGGAGAAGGTGGTTGGGGCCTCGCCATGTGTGGCATAGGTATTAACGATAATACTAGTGTCACGAAGGTGGTGACAAGAGTGATATTGTCAATGATGAGAAGAACGTGGAGTATGTGATGGTGATGGTCATTGTGAGGAGAAGATTGTGGCGATGATGGTGGCAGTGGCAGCAACACCCTGAGAAGCATAAGTGGTGATGTTATTGAGGAGAATGATGGCATGGTGGTTGTTGTATGCGACGAGGCCGTGATGGTGGCAGCAACAATAAGTGCTAATGTGTGGATGAGGATGGTTGCACCAACAGAAGGTGGTGGTGGAGTCTCTGATGATGATAGGTGCTAATTAGTTGATGGGAATGATGAGGAGTTGTTTTTGCCTTTTTGGCTGTGTCCATGTGCTAGGGGAGGAAGAAAACCTCAAGATTATGAGGTGGAAAGGAGAAAGAAAAGAGGTAATTTCATAGATGAGGGCTCTTTTCAAATCCTCCACTTTCTGCAAACTAGTTCGTGGTTCTGGAAAACATTAGTGGTCTGCTACCAAACAAAGAATTGCTATCTTAGGGTTTTAGAAGATCTAGGCCAGATTTTTGCAATTTTCCAAAAGGTGCTTGTTTGTGGCATTATGGAAAGCTATGGGCTTGTTCGTGCAAATTGCTTAATTAGAAAGTTTCTATCTAAAGTAACTTGAACTCTACTGGAGACATATGCAGGCTTGATAAGACTCAAAAGTCTATTTATATCACCACCCCTCTCTGCAAAAAGAGGACTCAACATACATTTGTCTGAAATTACAAACCACCTCGCACTTAAAAAGATTAATGTAATGATACAGTAAATGCAATTTGATGTTTATTCTAGATTTTACATAACATTCAAGAATCTTTAAGCATACTATATATCAAGGTCTGCCGTACCGAAGCATACCGCCCGTACTGGGCGGTATGTACCGGTCCGACAGATTACTGGTATGTGGACCGTCCGGTACCGCTACAGTGCTACAGTACTATACTGTAGCACTGCTACAGTATAAAATAAAAAATATATTCGGTACGCCCTGATGTACCACCCGGTTCACCAGTACCATACCGTACCGAGCCCGGGTCGAAACGCCGGTATGGTACGGTACAGTGAACCTTGCTATATATACACCATGGTTTCAGCACTGATCAATATTTATCGATCTGAACAAAGAGCACTACTGGATCATATAGATTGTTACCAATTAATATTTATTTTTTAAAACCATTCACTATACTGGTATTATATCAGTTTGGTATATTACTCAAACAAATATTAGATCGAGATTTAAATATTTGCTATATATAACTTTATTGATGTTTAGCGTATGTCGCTGTTTGGATATATCAAGATAAAAGATGGCCAAAATTGGGATGTGTGAAGGATTATCTATGAATAAATAGGTAATGGGTACAAATGTGAAATGATGCCTTCTTGTGTCTAGACATAATTTATTGTCTCATGCTGTTCCATTTTTCTTAGTCCTAAGACACAGCATAGCGGATTTTTTAAAATGTTCTTTGAGTTAGTTTGCTTGATTTTCATGTCAGATTGTTCTTGGGGCTAGACTTAACTGAGATTATCATGCTGTTCCATTTTCTTACTGCTAACCTTTTTGAAGAAAATGTTTCCTGGGTTCTTCCCTCTTTGTTGTGTCATCTTTGTTGGATTTTCTAAAACTTGTTCTTGTGGTAGGACTTGAAACCCCAAAACCATACAACAATACAAATGTAGTTTCACTCGGTGACATTAGCTAGGACTTGTCGGTCATGGTTCTGTTATTGAATCACATTTTAATAATCTTCTTATTGCTTGATTGTTTGTTTCCTTTCGATTATCTTGTTTGTGCATACAGATGTTTATGATGGATGCCGAGTGTTCCAATTTTCAAATAGTACAATAAATATCATATTGTTATTTAACTTACTTTAGCTGGTCCCTCATTCTGGGGGGGTCAACTCCCACCCTGTATCTTAGATCACCCATCAGTTTATTTATCTTATTACACATTAACAGGGACGTGTTGTGGAAATTTATGGCTCAGAGGCTTCTGGGAAAACAACTCTTGCTCTGCATGTGATTGCTGAGTCACAAAAGAATGGAGGTAACTTTGGCTACCATGTCATGCTTTGATCTCTTAGTGTACTTGTTTAACACTTTAAAGGTGAAAACAAATCAAAATCCCTTGACCTTTCCCTACTTGCAGGTCATTAGATCTTTAAGTTATTTATATTTCAGTATTTTTTTATAGTACTTCTCTGTTTCTCTTCCACAGGTTACTGTGCTTTTGTAGATGCTGAGCATGCTCTGGATCCATCATTGGCAGAGTCCATAGGTGTTAAAACTGAAAACCTACTCCTCTCACAGCCAGATTGTGGTGAGCAGGCACTTAATCTTGTGGACACTCTGATCCGAAGTGGTGCTGTTGATGTTGTGGTTGTGGACAGTGTAGGTAGAGGGATTTATAACTTCTGTTTACCACTTAGGCTTTCATTCTTCTTCCTTCTGTAGTATGGTTCTTATGTATAGTTTTCAAAATTTAGTACCTGGTTCTGCCCTACTTTGCAATATGCACGATTTCTGTTTGCTTAGTTTGATTCTAAAATTTACTTACATCTGATGTAAAATGATTTTGCATTCCAGTCAGGTTAAAGTCTCACAGTAGTAAAAAATAATGAGTTTAGGAACAAATCAAGAAAGCAGGATCATGAGAACTCTCTTCTATTGCATGAACTTTAGATGAAAGTAAGAAGCTTTATTTGGATAGTAAAGGAGTAATTTGGATACCCCTACAAATTTATTTAGGTGTTAAGACCAAAATCAATGACATGAACATGCATCTGAATAGGAAAAATTCAGTTAAACATGACACAATGGTGATCAAAATGTTTCAAATGTGGTGCAACCTTTGATTGTTAGTGGGTGAGAATGCTTAAGTTATTAAGCTTCATGAGTTTAAGCAAGTTCTCTTTGTTGCTTATCATCATTGAAATGCAGAAATAAGGTGTCATGAATACCTTGCATTTGATAGCAGAAAAGTGGATGAATTGAAATTTTTTTGTAGGTATACTCATCTTAAGGCCATCAAATAACTTTTAGACATATCCCACTTGATGTTTGGCAGATTGGAAAGCTTCAGGTTAGGAGCATCACCCGAGTTTAATGATGTCACATGAGGGTAAGATGCTGACATTGTACATATGCTAGTGTATTATTATTAAACTATAAGATGATATTCACACATTCCCTACTGATGAATATGTCCATGATTCATTGTGGCATGTTGGTTTTAGCAGTGATGACAACCTTAGCCCTAGATCAAGTGAGCTGGGTGGTGATCTTTGGGTGGAACATGGTGAAGGTGGCATTTCATGTAGTTAGCTATCACTATCAGTAATTTTAGGAAATTAGTTCTTTTTTATTGTAGCATTTCTGATAAGGTACTTCTTGAAATTTGCTGTTGCACTGTTTTCCTGTAGGTATTACTCTTTAAGATATAAAGTCATGAACATCTATCATTGTGACATTTTCTGAGTGATGCTTAGCCATCGCATGTAGTGTTTTTGTTGAATATTATTTTCTTTTGCTAACTTGATCAGATTGATCAACATTTTCTTGTTTCTTCCACCTTTTCATTTGAATTTCAGGTGGCAGCTCTTGTGCCTAAAAGTGAGCTAGATGGTGATATGGGAGATGTGCATATGGCCCTTCAAGCAAGACTGATGAGCCAAGCTCTTCGAAAGTTGAGCCATTCTCTATCTCTCTCCCAGACAATCTTGCTATTTGTAAATCAGGTAAATCTAAAATGAGTTTCGAGCATGTTTTTTGGATGATATGGTGGAATTTTCTTTCTGGGACTGTCATAGTGTCTATCTGGAAGTAAATTGAAGTGATGTATTTCTCTTCCTGTTTCGATCTGTTCTGTTGAACTCTTCTAAACAGGACTAAGGTGCAACATACACTTGACTGCTCAATTGTCTATGTCATAACACAAAGCTCACCTACTGCAATGCTCAATGGTCATGTCCATAACGCACAAAAATCAACCTGTGGAGTCTAAGATTGGAAGGTATTGTTTATCTATTGCCATTGTGGGGGAAAGGTTAAGGAATAGTCCCACATGGCTAAGAGGTTTAAGAGTTGGGCCATATGTAGTAACCTTGACAATCTAGATCTTTGGGTTGTAGTGGTTCAGGCGGACTTATAACCAAATAATTTATTTGGTTCGATTGAACCAATTAGATCTAAAGTCAACGGTTGCGGAGTTTGATTGAGACCTATCCATGCGTGAGCCCTAATGCAGAAACTCTTTCTCATTTCGTTTATGGGACTAATTACATATTACCCCTAAAACATCTAGGTGGTGGATGCAGAGCGACGACAGAGCACCCTGCGGCTCCGTCATAAAGTGGCATTTGCGGCATGGAGTCATCGGTGCTAGTCTCGAAAGTATCAAGACTTTGCAGTTGGCTCCCCTACCCGCTCTCCAGAACCCTCGACGAGGGCAATAATGGAGCGATACGCTTCAACGAAGAGGAGGTTGTAAAGAGTTGCAGTCGTGTGCTGGGCAATGATGGGGGAGAGGAGGCGAAGGGCGGCGGCGTTCTCCTAGGCCTTGCCCGTGGACGAGTGGTGGTAGTGGTTGTTGAGGAGGTGGGCAGTAAGGAGGCGCACGGTGTTAGTGTCGGTGTCAGCGAGGGGGGCACACATCTTTGGGTCCTGCAGAGCACCATTGCAGATGCAGAGTGATGAAAGACTCGGCAACTGCATTGGCATCGACGTCAGCAGTGCCACCGTCCGCCACCACCAACTAGAACGTTAAAATTATATTTTTTGCCTTTATTTTCGTGTTTTCGTTGGTAAACTGACGTCGTTAGAATAAATGGACCTAGTTGTTTCACTTCCATAACTATAGGGATGTCAATGTAACTATTTAAAGCGTAGGGACCAGGATGTTAAAGGTAGCTAGCTGCATGGAGTAACCTGTAATTAGCCCTCGTTTCTGCACGGCTGCGGAGTTCCTCCCATCACCGAACGACTGCAGCAACGGCAATGACAGCGTCTTCCTTCGACAGCAGTGACATCTTCCTCCAGCAGCGACGCTAGCGACAACGTCTTCCTCCGGCAGCGGCTTCTCCTCCCTCCCGGTATATCTCTCCTCCCTTTGGCAGCGGCTTCTCCTCCTCCCTCCTACCTTCTTCCTCGTTCACCACAGCCCTCCTACGTTCACTGCAGTCTCTTCCCTCTTCCTTCTTCCCCTCCCTCTTCCCGGTTTATCACTGCCTTCTTCCCCTTTCACTGCTGCCTTCTTCCCCCTTCACTGCAGCCCTCCTATAGCCTCTTCCCTCTTCCCCATTCATCACTGCCTTCTTCCCCATTCACCGCAGCCATCCTACAGCCTCGTCCCTCTTCCCCGTTCACCGCTGCCACTTCATTGCTGTTTGTCAATTTAAACTTAGAATAGCTGCCTGCCTGCTGTAGTGAATCATTTGTAAAATGTTGATTATTATTGCTATTACTGTAGTGATTAGTGCTACTTTTTAGTGTTTTGGATTGTTGTTGCAGCCAAGGTTTTTAACTTCGTACCATACCGGTGTACCGAGCTTTGCTCGGTATGGTACGGTACAGGGTATCGAGCGGTACGCCTAAAAAAGGGTATAAAACCCTTTGAGTTCGACATCCTCAATAGAAATGAGCGACGACGAAGGTGGTTTACAAAGGCGGCTCTGGGTCGAGTTCCATTGTCCAACGATGTCGCTATGAGAGGAGTTATGACGAGATTAGAAGCAGAGGAGTCAAGGTCAGAGGGAGGCAGCTTCTTCCACAAGGGTTTCTTCAAGTGGCCATGGTTCTTGATGACAAGGTCGGCGAGGGAGGTCAGGACCAGAAGCGGAGTCGTCAAAGTCGGAAGGAGGCAGCTTCTTCTTCCGCGAGGGCTTCTTCAATCGGTCGCGATTCTTGACAATGTGGTCGGCAAGGGAGATTGGGACCAGAAGCGAAGGAGTCAAGGTCGGAGGGAGGCAGCTTCTTCTTCCGCGAGGGCTTCTTCAAGCGGCTGCGATTCTTGACGACGAGGTTGGCGAGGGAGGTCGGGACCAAAAGCAGAGGAGTCAAGGTCGGAGGGAGGCAACTTCTTCTTCCGCGAGGGCTTTATTTCTCTCGTTATCACTTGATATCAACCGATACAGTTCGGTAACGTCGAAATTTCGATCGTTACCCCCGATACAGTCCCGTATCGCCCGATACAGAGCCAAAAGACTGATACCGCCTAGTAGCGGGCGGTCCACGTACCGGTTTGCTGGCGGACCGGTACGTACCGCTCATATCAGGCGATACAGAACGTTATTAAAATCCTTGGTTGCAACTTTAGATGGTGACAAGATTGAAGATGATGAACTGGATTTTAATGATCTTTGATGTTAATCTTATTTTATTTTATCATTTTGATATTGAATATGGACAATATAGTTTGGTACTTTAAATGAATGGAAGTTTGATGTGTTTTAGTATTTTATTTTTTCATTTTCGCTACTAAAACAATTTTTTTATTTAGTTTATTTTTTATTAATCATGATATATAATTTTTAAATTATAATATTTGAGAGCGTCTCGTTTCGCTCGAGTGAGCACCTAGTGCCTCGGGCATTTTTGGATTGTGGTGCCTTTGGATGCCTAGCGCTTTTAACTATACTAGAATGAATAGAGTTTTACAACAGCAGGTACTGCACTTAGTGAAGTTAATAAATGCATCTGACCTAGATCATTCAACAACTCTCTAAAAAAAAGTTTGAGAAAAATGAGGTTCATGTATGGAGGGGAAGACAAGCCTCACTCATCAAATAGGAGAAAGAGGAGACGAGCATTCAAACAAGAAAGAGGAAAATGTTGTGAAAGGAAAATATGCTAAATTTGTCATAAGATAAGATAAAGTTTAGTCTCACATAGTTAAGAGTTTCAAGAGTTGGCTAGATAAATTGGAGTTGGAAGTGTCTCATATGTCATAAATTGTTTATATTCTAAAGTCTAAACAATATAAACATTTGAGTTTTATTGGTGTTTAATTATCATTTTGGTGCCTTGACTAATTTGGCTCACTATTCATTATTCGATTCTAACAGATATCGTATCTCCTTTTTCTAGGCAAACTAACCTTCCACTAAGACAACTTGCAAGTGTAATGAGGAGTCAGCAGAAGAAATGGCTTGAGAACTTGGTCTATGTCAATAAGGCAGGGTTAGGAGGATGATGGCTATAAGGGAAATCTATAATTCCAAAGGATGATGAATGGAAAACAGCCTGCAAACTAATTTTATCCTGTTAATCAGAAACATTGTTCAGCTCATGTTGCGGATTGTTGATTCAAATCACATTAAAAGTGAACTACATTGTATTTGTTTGTTCATTTTTGAAGTGAATAAATTAACTAGCTTGATGAGACAAGGGCAATTCTTGAATTTCAAGATCACTGCCTATCCATTGAATGGTGGTCGGTAGAGTTTGACATGGAACCTTTTCTCAAAGGCTGCCTAGGAATTAAGTTTATGGGGTTCATTGTGCCAACTAACACACCCCTCCTAGCATTAGTGTATTTCTTAATTCTTACATTGGTCTTATGGCCTTGAATCCAAAATCCATTTGAACAAGAATATCAGATGTTGGACATTGTTCAACAACATTTTAGTAAAGTATAATTGGAGAAATACTTATTCCAAATTGTTATGTTCACTACTCTTTGAAAGCAAGAATTATTTTGTGCATTTTTTTTGAAGTTTCAACACTAAAGTTCAGTTGTGTTATGGAAGTTAAATTATTGTTTTTATAGGTAAGATCGAAGCTGAGCACATTTGGAGGATTCAAAGGACCAACTGAAGTTACTTGTGGTGGCAACGCCTTGAAGTTTTATGCATCTGTTCGATTAAATACTAAAATAGCAGGTCTCATTAAAAAAGGTGAAGAGGTAATTGACCGTTTTATTTTTCTTATGACTTGTGAATCAGGATGTTTCAGGTACATAAATTAGTTATTTTGTAGATATTGTTCGTGACTGTGGTTCACTGCTGATGTTATAATGTGGTAAAATTAACCCTTAATATTTTAGCTCAAAAGTTTGGTTCAGATATATGATTCTCTTTTGGACCTTAAAATTAAACTTTATATGATTTTTTTATTGAATGCCTAGTGAATATGGTTGAAAATTTAGACCTTAAGTTTTAGATGGATGTTCAATAAAGAAGAACTTCACTTGTAAATACGTAAACTACATACTAGTTTTAAACATGGTATGACTTCTGATTTAGAAAATAATTTATCAGCACATCTTAGCTATATAGAGTTGGTTATGAGTAATTCTTTCCATTACGATGTTTAAGGTACCCTTTAATGTGGCCCAAATTTGGCAGATGCATATTTCACTGTTGAACAGATTTTATCTAGAAATTAAAATACATACCTCAGAATATGATACAATGGAACCTTTGAGCAGTAATAGAGTAAATCTAAAAGTGAAGGAAGTGAAAGCATGAGAGAAAAGGATATGCGGAGGACTTTAAAATTTTCTTTTCTCTATGTGACAAATTTCCTTTTTTAAGCTTTGCAGAACATATATAGGATCCCTAAGTTCCTGATGGGATGCCTTGTTTGTAGGGATATCTTTAATAATTGAGATATTTCTCATTTTGAGGAATAATTAACATAAAAGTTTATTCGAAATGTAAATGCATGCAAGTTTATGCTCCTGGATGTGGAAGTAAACATCACAACTACTTTAGTATTTTAGTACTCACTCCTATTTTCTTGATTGATTATGATGTTATCTCTAGATTCTCTACAGTATTTCACTGGTGGGTTTTAAGGTACTAAAATTGTATTTTCTTAGAGAGCTTCTTTGTAAAATTGGTTTGATGAAGTACTTGATGAAAAACTTGTGTTTTCTCTTGCAATGCAAACATGTCTTGGTTATTTGGCAGGTTTTAGGTACCCAGATCATGGTAAAAATTGTGAAGAACAAGCATGCTCCTCCTTTCAAGGAAGTGCAGCTTGAACTTGAATTTGGGAAAGGGATAAGCCGTGACTCAGAGGTTATAGAGTTAGGCTGCAAGCATCAGTTCATTACAAAAACAGGGGTTGCATATTACTGCTTAAATGGTCAAAATTTCCATGGTAAAGATGCCTTAAAACGTTATTTTGCTGAAAATGAAGTTGTCCGGGAAGAGCTGATGATCAAGCTCAAAGAGAAACTGACACAGGCTGATACAAATAACAAAAGTTACAAAGATGAAATCTCAAGCAAAGATACACAGGAGGAAATAATTTCCATGCAGACAACTGATGAGGAAGTGGTTGCTGAGGTTGAGGCTCAAAGCATTTGTACATAAAGATGCACATGGCACATAAAAGCCTATGCCATTGGTCTATGCTAATCTAAATTCACCTGGTTCTGTTTAAGCTTTTGGTGAAATCCCAAGTAAAATTTCACAAGATTTTGTCTGGAAGGTTGGAATTCCTAGCAGCAAGTTCACATCTCGAATTCAAAAGGATCCTAAGTCGGTGTTTGTTCCTATTATCCAGCATCCAACAATCTTTCAAAAGTTACCTTGGAGATGATGAGAGCAAGGTCGTGTATGAAGTCACTGGAACACTACTCCTAATTGTATATATTATAGTGGCTACATCTTATTCCACAGTCTTGTGGTCTTTTATCTAGGTTTTGTCTTGTTAGTCTCAATGTTGAAGAAACAGCAGCAATGAAAACTGATAGATACACCACAGCCTGCTACAGAGCCAACTTCTTCATCATGGAGAATTGGAGATTACAGTCCTTAGTACCTTTTTGGTAGGCTTATGCCATACATAAATCTTTCGGTTTTTTGTTTAATAAGTGATGAAGACGAAATTTGATCCGAAGATGCTATCGATAGTTAAAGCATTTACCAGCCATACGTAAATATCGTCAGTCATTTGTCCGTGGATGTATCTCAATTGCTTTTTGTTTGTATTATTTTAGTAGATCAGATCTGTTGAAGAGTAGAACAAATGTAAGTTTCTACATAGTTGCTTGTAGTAGCATTTCTATATTTTTACCTATCTGGCTTCCAGTGATGTCTTTATATAGAACATGAAGCTGTATATTGATGCTTATTTTTTATATGGAGATTACAAAAGAATACAAACAAGATGCATTTAAATATTATTTATTGAATATTTTATTGGTAATCATATATGGTAATAGAAAACTAACAATAGATGCAGATATCATAGATTTTGTTCATATCACTGGGACAATTAATATAAAGGAAGATTAGCTATAAGAGGAAAGGTAATGAAAATAATACTAAGATATGAAATATATATATATATATAGGTAAAGTTTATTTTCTTAATTGTAATTATAAAAGGAATATTTAATTAGAAAAAGAGTGAGATAGGAGCATGAAAACCACTATTTCTCAATTATAGATATTTAAAAAAAATAAATAATTGACTTATATAAGAGTAAGGGTAATTAAGTCCTTTCAATATTACTGATAGTATGTATTGCTAAATTGTCAGGGCAAAGTGATATTAAAGAATCATAGATAGGGAATGTAATAGTAATCTCATAAACAACATATGAGTAATCTGTAATTTCCCCCCAAAAACAATAACAACAATGAGACATAATTTTCAGTAATATACTTTAATTATTTTCAATTAATCGCCTTGCAATTTGCGTCCTTTTATTTAATTAGTGTTCGGTGTTCTCTCTTTTCACTCCACCTGCGGCGCTACCACCTTTACCTTTCTTCCTCCCCTGTTTCCGCAGATTCTTTCGCCGTTTCGTCGATCCGATCGATCGTATTTGCACTTTTTCAATCCTTTTTTCGATTTTTTTTCTACCTTTCGATTTGATTTTCTAGAAACATGGGGAAATTTTTGATCTTTTCAGCCTGATTTCTTCGTGCTTTTTCGATATGATTCCGTATCCGATAAAGGTCGCATCTTGAGCCTGCTTTTGTAGGTCTCGAGCTCAAATTTGGTCCTTTCTCCTGTGTTGTTCTTGTTGTGATACAAACTTTTTGCCTCCCTTTTATAGATCTTGTTGTTGTTCTCGTTCCGATTGTTTATCTGTTCGTCTTCTTCAACTTCGTATTCTGTTGGTGTTTTGGGTCCTTCCGGAACCGTCAAATGGCTCGAGAAAGTTGCAATCTTGACAAAGATGAAGCCGAAACCCTCAAACACTCCACTTCTTCGTCTCCGACCACGCCTCCGTCATCATCTCCGTCACCGCAGTCTTTGTTCTTGAAACCTTGCGAGGAACCGCCGACCACGAGACTGGGAACGCCGGCTGCGGAGACACCGATCGTGCCGTCTTCCGCCCCGAAGCTCGATGATGAGGTGAAGCCTGACGAGGAATCTAAGCCGCCGGTAAGATACAGCAAAAGGTGCTCCACCTGCCGGAAAAAGGTGGGGCTCACTGGGTTCCGGTGCCGATGCGGGGACCTGTTCTGCGGCCGCCACCGGTACTCCGACAGCCACGATTGCTCGTTCGATTACAAGGCGTTTGGGAGGGAGCAGATTGCTAAGGCCAACCCTGTGGTCAGACCTTCTAAGATCATCAAGATATAAGGTATAAAGCTGTCACCTTTGTGTTTAATGTCCTTCCTCAACAGTTGTTCTCTCTGAATGCAAATCCAATATGTTTGCCCAAGAGATATGGTGTTTGGATTTCATACAATTATAGATGAAGTGTGATTTATTTGATCTTAGGATACAACTTTGCTGGAATATGGATCCAATTTTTGTATGGCTTAAGATTGAAATGTCATGTTACTGATTATATTTTAGTATCTTGTTGATTGGGCTGCATTGTTATTTGTGTTGAAAGCCTATCTGTATTTGTGTTGAGTTTTCAATCTAAATATTTTTTGGTATTGGTTTTCATTTATGCTGTTTGACCATTGTGATTTTGGATGATCTGTCTATTGGTGTAGGGAAGAAAAAAAAAATGCAGTCTTTATTTTTCTTTAGAGTCCTCTTTGTTGTGACTTTGATCTTTCTGTACCTTAAAAAGTTAGATGCCTAAAGTAAAACAAGCTAGTTTCTATGAATATTTGATTGTTACGAGTTCATAGAGATCCTCTCGATGGGTGAAATTGAGTTGTCTGCATCTTATGAAGTGATGTTCGTTACGAGTTCATAGAGATCTTCTCGACGGGTGAAATTGAGTTGTCTGCATCTTATGAAGTGATGTTCGAAACAAAATATTTACAAATAATTTTATTTGAATATTTATTTGCTGGCATACATTTTGATTATCCAACTTGGTTATGTAGGTTCTCTTTTTGGATCATCTGGTCTTTATGAACTAATAGTTTAACACAGAAACTTAAACTAAGTCTCGGCAAATACATCTTTGTTTCCATTGTCAATGTCAGGATAATTCATATGGTTTTTCACAAGGGGTTTAATTGCTTGGACTAACAAGAGCTGAAGTGTCTGAAATTAACACTGTTTTAATCTTCGACCAGACTTAGATTATCATCCGTAAACAAGAATGTGATTGTTGCAAGCTCCTTCCGGGTCTGCGGCAAACATGAGTTGGAACATGAACCTGTAAATTTCATGAAATGCCATGCGCATAATGCTTTGAGAAATTTATATAAATGCATGAAAATTTGGATTTCATGGTTTCAATTCATTTCCTATGATGTCCATTGCAGTTATTGCTTCGGTTCTCTGTCATCTCACGAGGTTAGTTTCTTTCAAATGTTGTCCGGTGGATAACGTCTTATCATGATAGATAAGCATATGTTCACATTATGATGCCTAATTATTTGGACTTGAGGGACTAATACCATCAGTTTTCAAGATGCTCGCCATTGACTAATCGTCATTGCTTCTGTATGTGCCATCTTGCAAGCAGACAATATTTGAATAGTTTCTTGTCCTGAAGTAGCTAGGAAATCTGCATTTAAATGTTCTCCGGTTCTTGAAGGATTAGTTTGATAGTTTTAAGCATTTGGTTTCAGATCATAATGCAGAATAGTTTGGACCCTTTTTTTTATTATCAATGTCTCCATTGTTTAAGATGGTTATTTGACTCATTTCTTACCTTCCAAGCTTCAATTAATGTGGCCAACCTTCTTCAAATGTAGATTACTACTGGGGATGTGGAAGGCCAGCCTAGAAATGAGAGCAAGTGGGGGATCATGCTCCTTTCTATTTCCATAAACAAAGGCTTACTACTGAAAGCATCATCATCATCACCCTCCTCCATTTGGCTATTGCACTGTTTCCACAGTCTTCACTTGGGAAGCTTGTGAGTGAGAAAAATGTTCCCCACTTTCCAAAGCTCCAAATAGAAGCTTTGTATTAAAAGCAATGTTCACATGGACCAAAGGTAGGTCAAAACAAACAAGTAGTCCATGAGCTCCCCCCACATGGGGTTTGAATATTGTACTTGTGCTTGATGATGGAGATGGAACTGTTTTAAGACTTGCAAGTGGCTTCTTCTTTACAATTAGACAGGAAGGACAGCTTCTCTAATAATTGATTGCTGGATGCTATAATGTGTGTTTTGCTTGCACCTTTATAGCTATCACTGCCCAAATCAAATTTCCTGTTTTGTTTCCTCAGTGGAAAACTACTTACATACTTAGACATATATGATTAGAAGTGGGAGAAAGGTGTAAGGCAACATTGTATAATAAGCAGTAATTAAATGGAGTCTGCTGCATAGATCATCGAGTTCTATTTTGGGTCACATTGCTATTAATAGAATTTTTGGTCCTCTCTTTCTCTCTCTCTCTCTCTGTTGTAGCATATGCATGGAATCCAACAGAGCTTGATTGGGGATCCAGTTAGAAGTGCAATTTACCTTTGCACCTGTGTTGGCTAATTCAATGAACAGATCATAACTAGGCGTGTGTCTGCAAGAAATAGAATTATTTGATGTGACAAAGATATCCCATTCCCACTGCAATCTTGCCTTGATATGATTGGTGCTGGATCAACATGGGAGGGGACTAAAGGCTGCCAGTGTAATGGAGACACAAGAACAATCCAGGGATGCAGAAGCCACAATGATCCCTGAGGCAATGTAAAAATTCTCATTCCAATTTGCCATATGATCTGAACATTTCAAAAAAATAAAAACTTATTATTCACATGATAAAGTTCCTTATCCCCTGCATTTGGAGCCAATCATGGAGGTCTCTCTAATGAAGACAAAGTTCATCAGAATGATCAAAAGTCAACAACAACAATAACAACAGGAGGTTGTAATGTCAAAAACTCCTTATGAAATGATACACTATTCAGTCTGTCAGCGACTGATGAATGCAGTTCTAATGAGTCAGACAAATCTAACACAACTGTTTGCACACACTACTGTCCAACCAACACTGATGGACAACAAAATAATGAGACATTCAAGATTTCAGGCCGGTGAATTGAAAGGTAACAACCAAAAACATATAGAGACATTAACAATTCTTGAAATATTAGACGAGGACAAAAGAAACTAAAAGGGAACCAAACACATTGTATCGGCTGACTTCTTTCAGCAAAAAGCTTGCAGGACAAAAATACAGATTATAGATAAAACTTGACAAGGGAAAGGGGGCAAATGTTATTCTGATGCTTAGATACAACCAAAGCACGATAAGTTGCAGATAATGTTTTTCTGATGCTTAGATACAACCAAAGCTCGATAAGTTGCAGATTTCTGGATGTTTAGAACGATTTGAAAAAAAGAAGGTAACAATCTAAAGACATTTACATTTGCCATGTCTAATTTTAATGGGAACAAATATATACAACTCAAGCAGTATGACAAATTTAGTGAACCACTCTCGCTAGGCAATCCAAACCTGATAACATGAATTGTACCACCCAACAGCCAGAAGTACAAAGGTTAATAAATACAGTAAACCATACACCACACCAACAACGTCACGCTTGTGATCTGGGCACTGAGCTCTGATCCTGCAGCATGGTAAATAAGAAGCCTTTCCGTTATAGCAAATCCTCTCTACCACGAAACAACCAAATTAATATCCATCTGCTTCACTGCCACGATGAGCAAATATTGTATCTATAAACTGTGGTCAAATTAGCAACAATTTGGACAAATAATTGAACCAGAAAAAGCAGGCAGAGAATGCAAATACTGAAGAATAATGCCGTGAATTTGCAACAGAGCAGCAGAGAATTTGTTTTTGCATGTTACCCAAAAGACAGAACAGTGCATACATGTGGCAGAAAAACGTTGAGCTCGGTTCCCTAGCAGCATATAGACCAAAGGGCACTAACAAACCAAGTATATCCAAGGATTCCACAGCTGCCATAACAATAAAGGGTCTTTTGCAGCCCATATCACAAATCATCATACACATGAAACAAATTTCTTGCTATATTAATAAGATCTAAGACCATCTTTGTTCATATCCAGCTTCCTGTAGAAAGCCTGCAATATATCTAAAGCAAAACAAGTTAGTTTACTGGGCTTGCAAGTAATGACACTAAGATTCATATCAGGAAAATGGCATCAAATGGGATGACAGTCACAAAGAATAAACAATCATATGAAAAATTATCAACTACTTAATTCTTTGTATAATTATGGAAGTAGGAAAGGACAAAAGCCAAACTATTTAAAAACATAAGCTTGCAAGCTGTTTAGCATAAGAAAAATGCTGGCATACCTTTAGTTATATTCAAAACGTATCAATGAGCGGAACTGCTGTTTTCACCATGATGATGTTCAGACCAGAACCAGAATGAAGTGATTCTTTGCCATGAGTGGAGGCTAAAAAGCAGTCACGAATAAAATCATATAAAAATAATTCAATCCTAATGCTCAATGCCACCCATAGCAGAATTCACTGCATCTCTTCTTCTTGATTGAATTTGATGAATGTATTCAGCGATTAGAATACTGAACTTAGGGGCAGGCCTGCTTGAAACGTTATGTCCAGCCCTTTTCAAAGCTTGTGTGATGCTTTTCTGAGTCTTCTGAAAGTGGACCTGACAGAGGGAGGGGACAGCAACTCTGAGAACCGGCTTTCCGCAGGTAATTGGCCCACTTTGCCCACTGTAAGTGAAACAGTAGCATTAGAAATCATCATATGGCTATCCACATAATCAACAGCCTTGCATCAAAAAGAAGAAATTGCTTAATGCTGCTAGATAATAAGCATATCTGAAGCAAACCTGTTGAATTGTATGCAGTAGGCATCATAATTCCTACTTGCCAGAATTTAGATCTGTTGTAAAATAATAGATCTAAAATCTAAAGGCTGATTCTTCTAGTGCATGCAGATGAAATATGAAAGTTAGCCAACATGCATGGGTGAACCTAAATCAATTTTGTAAGCAGCAAAGCTAGTGGACTTATAAATACAAGCCCCAAAAGATTAACACCTATAAGAAAACCAGCCAATATCTTTCAAGGTACCATCAGAATGCATCACAGTACAAAAATCTTGTGACAATTAAGTCAAAGTAGAGTCAACATTCAGACAATCAGTAGTCTGGGATAAATATCTTGAAAGAAAACAAGCTTAACCACAGATATCTTCATAAAGTTATGTAGGGAAAATTCTATTAGCTCAAGATCTAAGGAACCTAAATGGATTCAACAGAAAAATTCATGGTTAGGGAAATATATACTTCAAAGGTGTAAAGGATCAGGTACATTACCATATCAAGACCTCTTGAAGCCTAAGCACAAAACACAGGGCATGTCTTGTTAAAAAAGAGGCACAACATAAGTACTCATAAAAAACGGTTTTGAAAATGATATAAAACTAAAATGGGTGGTAATTACTATTACTGGTATCTAGATAATCAAAAAAGTATCTCGGTTCATCATTCCAAAGGATAAAATGATATGTCAATAGTAGCTAAAGGAAATAGCAGAATGATGGTAAAAGCACTAGTAGGAGAGAAGTAACAAGATAGAAGATAATAGTAATAAAGGAATAAAAGAGAACACAGGAAGGAGAATGATAATGGTGACAGCAAACTAATAAATGAAAAACTAATTGCTTAGTTTTTCTACTCATTTGATGGTTGGTTTTTTGTTTTATCAAGAATGGATCTTTTACCTGAAACAAAAAAATCTAAATTAAATCTTGCATCACAAAACTTACAATTGTAATTCTATTAAATTTTGGGAAATTTTAAGAACCCAACATAAGAGTTCTGTACACTAAAGGCTACAAACCTTTACAGAATATTGGAACTAGGAGCTATTGCTACTCAAGTGTCCTCAGAATCAAACATCAAGACTTGCAGTCTATGATAGCTAACTTGCTTTTTTTCAACTTACAATATTCCCAAAAGTTCGTCATACAAACAAGATGTACTTACTAGAAAACTAACTGAGTTGGACTCCTGAAATCCTTGTTACGGAGAATCAGAGATTCTGAACCAACCACCTTTATTTCCTACAAAGTTCATTACGAAGACTATAGTTGGCTCTGAACATGTGACCCAGATATGTTCCCAACATCAAGTACAATACAACAAAAATTGAGCCTCCTGTGCAATCCACATACTAGTGACACATTTTAACTGAAATGTAAGACGCTTTGCTTAATTGTTTGTAGTACGATATAAGAACTTGCTCAACCTACAAAGTTAAGAGAAAAGATCTTATATTCCCTAGTAGTATACTCATCCAAACAACCAACCTTGTTGAAAAGAACCTAAACATCGAACATTGCTTTTCTCATAAATTAATTTTAACACAATTTCCATTACTGAGTTCTTACAAGAAGGCTTCATTCAGAATTAATAACCAACTAATACCCTAACTTCAATTCTAAACTTGCAAAATCTTATACTGTCAACAATTAAACTTTAAATCCAACATCGCATTCTACTAGGATCAAAGAAAAAACTACTATTGAGTATATTTCCTATCAATATTTAATGTTTCACCCGGACAGGATGCACCAGGTATTACATACTGATTCGAGTGTCAACCTGATAGTGAACCACTCAATTTCGAATGATTTGAGTTGTTTGTTTTTCAAAATAACCTATGGTTTAGGGTCCCAACAGAACAAAGTTGCTTCTTGGTTTCTCTCTTCACATACAACTCTCTTGTGCTCAACCCCTTGCGACATTCGCTCGTCCGTCTCCTGATGCCACCCCTCTATTGCTCACTGCTCATCATCATTTGGCTTGGGTGCATGGTAGGAATCTCACGCACTGGCCCATCCCTTTTGATATTCGTATACATTTCTAACTTTGTTTAAACTCTCGTACACAAATTGCTTAAAGGAAATAGGACTACTTGTTCTTGGGGGACCTTCATATTGTATCAAACACATTTGGTAAAAGGCCTAAAATTTTTTAAAGAAATAAATTACTTTCGATGGACTAGTTGAAAAATAAGATAACATAACTCAGCTTTGATTGTGTAATAATTACTATGTAAATGATATCATGTATCTTTAACCAAATTACTAGTCTCCCTATTCATCTGTCCTCTTAGAGTCACCACTTAAAAGAATAATCAACCCTTAGAATGAAACTTCCACGCTGCTAGGTCAACATGCACACATTTCTAGAATGTATATATTCTTCCTGAAATATAGGCAATAAATTTTTTATGACTCCTCTATCTTATTAATTAATCAATTCATGAACACATGTTGAAATAGAAATATTATGTCACGCCAAGCAAAAGAAAGCATGTTATCACAATTTTTTCCAGTCTCCATCAACCCCTCCCCCAACCCATCATAAAAAAAAAGTAGGAAAAAAAGGTAAAAACACCAAAAATATCAAACTCTTTTAGTCTTACCTTTATAAAAAAAACTGTAGGACTTTATAGAAATTTCATCAAGATTCCAATATGTTGACCTTGACATATATAATACAAACAGCTGGGGCATGTGACAAACAACGTGATCCTGACCAGTATATAAAAGAGTTCCTTTTTATCTTTGACTGCAGCTATGCATCATCAAGTCATGCTGATTTGTCTGATTTCTTATAACACATGCTAGTCTTAGTAGCAAAAAAGTTAGGTAAGGCAAGTCTATGAACATCTGTCATTTAAAGTAATTTCTTTCTCAAAATCGGTACAAAATTAGCTTTCATTCATAAGCATCAAAATTAGCTTGAATTAATCTACTTGGCTAATGTTAGTTTAAAAACTGAAAACAAATAGAGTGGCCATGCTTGATCAATGTTAACTTTTGAACAGTATTCTAGGTGAAGGCTGCAGATTAAGTTAAACAAGTATTTGAGAGATCCAGATGACATCTTATGTATGATACAATACAACAATCACTTGATATCGTAGCGCAAGAATGTTATCCTATGCACTGTCCAAGTCAGAAACAAGTGCTACCAACGAGCCAGTATAGATGCATATAAGCACGTTGTCAAGTTATAAAATAGTACAGAAATACCTCTTTTTTTAGGTCAGTGAATATCCTAAATCAAATATTAAAATTAAAAAAATATCAATTATATGAGCATATATATTTGGAACATATGAACGCCAACCATAAGAAGTTGTAAGACAAGGCACACGGTATAAAGAGTTAAAATTCAACTTATCCGTATAAATAGAACTTTTCATCATGCTATGATTTGTTTGTTATTTAATTCGTGGATCTGCAGTATATGCCTAACATGTTACTTATTCTGTAGTTTCTTTTACAAATTTAGAAGTCCTTTTGCTTGTTCCTATGAGTGAATATAGTTAATATAAGGAAAGGTACACATTACTTGGAAATATGCAATGCAAAAACTAAACAGTAATCAACAGAGATAACCAACTTATAGTATTCATAATTATTTATTGGATAAAAACAAAATAAGTCGAATTAAACCAGCATACTGGAAAACTCAAAGGCAGACAAAATTTATTGGTCGGTCCAAAATTTATGAAAAATAGGCATGTATAGTTGTGAATATATCTACAAATCCAACATCTAGCTGGGACAGTGCATGGCCCAATGCCAGCATGTACTGCTCATAAGATGAATAAATAATGATATCTTGCCCTTGCTGTCCTATTCTCTTAAAGAAAAAATTCTACATGCATAAGGAAAGTTGATAGATGCATATCAACATTATGCATAAATGTTACATCACTATCAGGAAGCTAAGAGATCGTAAAGGAACATTCAACAAAATGCTAAGCACTCCAGACGAACCCATCCTACGATCGTTATTCATCATTAATTCAAAACATGAGGTTTGGAATCAATTGTATACAACCTAACGAATCAATCATAACACTCAAAACAGAAACCCCAAAAAAATTGAGCAATTTCAGCACTAATTCAAACAATAAAGAGAATAAAATTATAGATTTCAAAGAGTTCAGAGTCCTAACCTCCTCGTCACATAACTGCAGGCCTTGTAAAGCGTCTGCTTCTTGTCCGCCAATATATGCGGATGGCAAAACCTGGTCAAAGGCATCGCCTTCGATTTGCACCCAGCAAACGCGCACCGGTTCCTCTCCCCCCTCCTCCCACCGCTACCCTCCCCTTTCCCGAACCCTAACCCTAACCCTACCCCGACCCTGGCCATCCTATTATCCTCCCTCCCCTCAACGGCCCCACCCACCGCCCCACCATTCTCCCCCGCCTCCCGCCCTCTCCCACCACCACCGTCCCCATCCTCCTCGCCCTCCTCGAAGGGGCTCACACCGTGCTCCCAATAGTAATCCCGGTGCTTCACCCTCACCTCCTCCATCAGGGCCCAGTACTGGCGGCTGTGGCATCCGGCAAGCTGCTTCAGCCGGCGGGCGCGGCGGCGTAGCACCTCCTCCCGGGAGAGCACGTCCGACCGGCGCAGGCACTCGTCCTCGTCGGCGCCGTCAACGGTGAACGCGGGCCTTGTCTCCGGCCCCTCCGCCCCCCCTAGAGAACCCAAACGGTTCGATCCGTCCCTCTTCGGCGCTTTGCTGTCTCTCGCAGGACCCATGTCTCCTCCTCTTTCCCTTCCTCTTCTACTTCTGAGACCGGAGTGACGAGAGTTCTCTGGAGAGAGAGAGAGAGAGAGAGAGCGAGAGGATTCTGCAGGGAGGGGGCGTTTTGTGGAAGCGGGTTCGGATTCGAGTGATGGGGGGGGAGAAGATCGAACGGTGAGGATGAGAAGATTGGGTGGGGTATGCCTCTTTTCCCTGAATTAAATAATGATTTGGTCTCTTCTCTCGGGAGTTGGTTTCGTATTCTTTTTCTGTTTGAAATCGTCGTATCTTTTCCAACGCTTGTGTCTCAAGCAATCCACGTGGGGGCACAGCGGGCCCCGCATCGGGAGCATGGAATCTTCCGCGCGAGTCCCGCCTTCTCGACTTGCCACCTTTTGGGCTTCGATTGGATCTTCGGAGTGTTGGCTGCTCGTGGTCACGCAGACAATCGTCAACACTCGTCGACCGACCCAGGTGGGCCCACGTGTTATTCTGCTGATGGGTCGAATCGGTGTTTGCTGTTCGAACAGACGCAGACTTCGATTGACCGAACCCATCATCGAATACGTCCACCCACTTATGTGGGACCCAAAATTGACGGTCCGCGTGGGTGTACGTCACCCCGGAAACCCTTTCCGGGTGACTCGGTCGAACCGGCCTGTGGGAAGGCTTCCCCGGAAAGCAACGGTGGTGCGCACAATCCACATAACCGTTTCGTTAGTCGAATCAATTGATTACGACCGTAAAAGGATTATAAGAGTTAAGTATTAATTCAATAAGTTAATTGTTTTATTTGACATTGATCTCAAAATTATTGTGGGTTACAAAATATTTAATAATTTAATTTAAAAAAAATATTTTTTTTAATATTATAATAATTTGGTGATAGATAATATATGTAGTCAACCAACAATCATCGACCATACAGGCGCACATAGAGCCCGTGAGGACGTGGATAAGAGTCTAATAAAATATTTAATCATGTTTCTTCTCACGTCATCAATTTTACTGACAGAAAATATGACACGATACAAGAATGACATAAAAAAAAAAAATCTTAGTTATTATTTTAGATTATGTAATAGTCGTCATTGAAGAAGCTGATGGTCCTCCTATAAGTCTTTCAAGGTATTGTTAACGATGAAGAAGCCGACGATCTATGCAAAGAAGATCTAGTATAACTTAAGGAAGGAAATCAAGGAAAAAACCTGAAAGTCAAAGATGAGTTACGGTTTATAGTTCTCGAAATAGTACCATTGAAAGCACTTCTCGAGATTGAGGATTATGTGGATGTGATGGACATGGTAAAAAGAGGTGATATCGAGGATTGAACCTTTACTAGTCCTCCTCCTCGAGACAGAGGATGGATAATCGCAAAAGATATGAGTAGTGATGGTGGATCCGAAACAAAAACCCTGCTCTTCTTCAGTCTTTTATCAAGGTATCTATTAATTTTAATTTTTTTATTAGTAAAATTATTTGTGCCGAGAAATAGAGTTAAATGTTTCTTAACTATAAATATGTTAATATAATTTTTTTAAATCTATGAACCGAAATACTAACGATGACTAAATATATAAGATAATATGTAATTAGCTCGCTTGTTAGTCATCCTAGTTTTGATTCCAATTTGAGTTAAACCCCATAATAAATAATAACGTTGACCTCCTCAAGCAAAAGGTTTTCTTTTTTTCTTCTATGCTAATTCTCTACCAACATTCTAATCTAAATCTCCATATGATTCTTGGATTAAGGGTTGGATAATGGCACTGTTAGCATCATTTTTATCATCAATCTGACCTGATTCATTTTTTAAATATGCTATGATCGAAGACCATAATTATCATTTTTAATTATGGTACTCTTTAAGAAAAATTCAGACTCACATTTATAATAAATTTAAACTAAAAAAAGGGTAAAAATTATTTTCTTGGAAACAATTCATTTAGAAAAAATACCGAACAACAAAAATACCGCACATGAGGAGCCCTGATGATATCTTGCACGATAATTCATGCATGTGGATCCTATCTGATGGAACGCGAATCTCGACGTGACCCGGACGTGGGTGACATCCGTTTGATGAGTCGCCCACGCGATCAGATCCGTGGATGTAATGGATCGGGGACGGATGGTGCACAGCCACGAGAGATCTTGATGCGTGGTTCGCAGTGTGGCCCGCACTCCGTGGGTTCCGCTTCCGCAATCGAGTGAGGGAAGAGAAATCCGCATCAATCGTCGCTCACGATTAGGGATTTGTGATCCTGTTCTCGTCGTCTCGGTGGAAGGGGTTTGGTTTGCTGCTGAGGATGGCGATGAAGGCGTCGTTGAGCTTTGCGCCACCGTCGTCGTCGTCTTGTGCTTTCGGGGCTCCTTCGCGTCGGGCTCTCGTCTTGAGCCGAACGCTCGGGACCTCGTTCTTTAACGGAGGAGGTACGATTGTTTGGGAAATCTCCCCTTTTGGACTCTCTTGATTCAGAGGATTACACGGTTTCTTGCTAGGTTTTAGGATTTCCCGGTGTTTTGATTGTGCAATAGGATTAACTGGTTAGGGATTAAAGGCGGTGGAATGGTGCCGTCATTGTGGAGTTTTGAAGACCTTCGAGATTTTGGATGATGAATTGTGCCCTAATCTCAACTTTGTGAGATGCCAAATTGCTGACGTTTTGGGTTCTGATGGTGATAAATTCTACTGACGTTTTGATAATGGCATCTTGGTTATCACTTGAAGCGAGGTGTCGAATCAGAATATCGTTTTGAATCACCTTCTAATTCTTCACTAAGAAAGAGATGGGAAGAAGCGATGATTGCATCAAGTTTCTGAGGTGGTTGTGCTCTGTTATACGCGGACATGAGTCATGAAATAGTGATGGGCACCTGTAATATAAAGAGCTTGAATGAAGTGAGATGTTCTTTAAAGAAAATATAAAAAAATGGCTCATTATACACAAGAAGTTGCATGCAGAAGTGTTTTTAAAAGAAATTCTGCAGAATTACACCCAAGGAAAGTCCACTTATCTTCTGCCTAAGTATCATGAATTGGTTAGTGGCAATGAGAAAATGATGATAATTGGTCAACTTTTGGTTGGAGATCTTTAGTAAACTCGATCACATGATTAGCTGATTTCTCAGATCCATGATGTAACATATGAAGTCCCATGGGACCTTGACTTGAGATCATGTAAATGTCAATGCAAAAATTAACTTTATCATGGATGAAAATCATAAAGAAGCAGCATATTAAATTTGTGAGCATGCACATATCTCCTAATACAGCAACAGCAAGGCTAATGTCCAAACGGTTTGAAGTAGCCTCCGTCGATTTTTTTCTCCAAAGAAAGATGTAATGCTTATATCTCCTAATAAATCATGAATATTATATGTAATAGGAAGTTGATTATGTTTGGCGAATGGGGTTCTACATTCAAGTTTTACCAATTGTATATTCTCTATTGAAGTTTGTTCTGCATGCATATGAATTCATTTTAAGTAGTTATGGTGTCTGGGATCTTTGTTGCCTGATGATTTATTGCAGTGGGAGCCCTTAAAGCCACAGGAATACATACGTTGAGAATCAAGCGTTTAAAATGTAGCCGACATGGTGGAGGTGCTCTTGGTGCTCAAATGAATTTATTTGATCGGTTAGCTAGGGTAGTCAAGGTCGGATTCACCTTTCAACAAAATTTATTGCTTCAATAACGGGGATTTTCTTTCTGCGCTTCTTGCTGTTTCCTATCAGTACTAATTGTTAAGTTTGTTCCTTTCCTAACTGCTCAGTCATATGCAAATGCACTCTTGAGTACTATGGAAGATCCAGAAAAGATCCTAGAGCAAGCTGTTCTCGAAATGACTGATGATTTAACAAAGATGCGCCAGGCCACAGCACAGGTACATTAAATTGATCATACCCAAATCCAAGGAACTTTAGAGTTAAAAAAAAGAAACTACAGTTAATGATGGTCATGCTCTTAACTGCGGCTTAAGCTGCACATAATTGTCAGGTCTTGTTTTGTGTCACACAAACTCAATAAATCATCTGATTGTAAAATGCAAAGGAAAACATGTTTTTCGTTCCTTGGGGAGCTCAGACCATTTGTCAGAAGAGGAAATATGTTGTTTTTAGTGCTTTTGGAGGGATAAAACTTTGTTGATTTGTGCGCAGACTTCTAAAATAACTAACACTTTTTTTCCATGCTTTTGTGAAGGAACATATACTTATTTCTGTAATTTGTCACTGTTAAAGGGACCAAGTTACCTTTGTTTTCTTTTACATATAATTGCATTCATGAGTCATTTGATTCCCACGTTTCTCGATCTACCTTTAACACCCTAAAACCACCAAATGAGGAGAAAACAATGTTCCAACCTTGAACACCTCAATACCAAAAAATGATTTGGATACTACTATTTCTTTCTTGCTTTTTTTGCTAACTTTTCACTCTATAAAATGTTCAAGGTTCTAGCATCTCAGAAACGGCTGGAGAACAAATATAAAGCTGCTCAGCTGGCATCTGATGAGTGGTAATGATATTTCGAGAGTATAATTACTTAATGTGCAAAAGAATATCCTTTTAAACATTTTCTCTAAATGCAGGTACAGAAAGGCTCAGCTTGCTCTTGCAAAAGGAGATGAGGACCTTGCACGTGAGGCTCTTAAGAGGCGAAAATCTTATGCTGTAGGTACCTACTAGAAATTTGAGTAATCATATATATCCATCGTTATTCACTTGCTAATTAAGAGGATATACCTGAAAAGATATTAGAGTGCCTTAATTTTTAGGCTATTTAGCTATTATGATTACTGGTATCATATCTGTGGGCCTTGTTATGTTTCTTCGTCAGACCTATAGGGTACTGGTACCTTAATACTTGGCAAACTTCTGGTTTTTGGATGTATACTATTTTTGGTTGTTTTTGAGAACTAATGGTCTTCGTTTGGGCTTTTTCTTTTGCATTATTTGTCTTTCATATTAAGAATCATATTTTGCTAGCCAGGGTAAGACTCGTTTGAAGTATTTTGTAGTATAAAGTACTAATCATGTCGTTTTATTAGGTGATGGTACCTATCATGTGCTTAGATCATTAATAGAAAAGATTTGTTGAGGGTCAATGTATGTAGCCTTGCTCTATAAATAGGGAGGATATTTGCATAAATCAAACACTAGCCAACCATTTCCACAACTGTAACAGTCCTCTGAAGCATTTTGTAGTATAACATTCTGAACATGTCATCTTATTAGGTGATACTACCGGTCATGTTCTTAGATTATGTATAAAAAAGGGTGATCTAGTGCAAAAATCTCCTGCTAGTGTTGGGTCCAAGGAGGTCTGATATACATATCACTAGTGATTTAAAAAGTGTTAGGTGCCAAGGTCCAAAAACGCCCGAGGCGCTCGGCGCTCGCCCGAGCGAAACGAGACGCTAAAATATAAAAATATATAATATAATTAATAAATATAATTATTTAAATAAAAATATGATATTAAACTAAAAAAATCTTACATAATCACAATATCACATTAACAAAAAAATCTCAAAATTCAAAACAATAACAATAATTTCAAATAAATAAAAATTAGTAGTATTAAAATCAAAATAATATATTATTAATCAAATAAATAAAAATATATTGTTACTAGTATACAGTTAAAAGTATACTGTTAACAATATACTATTAAGTCGATGTGAGAAGAGGTAGCAACGAGCAACGACAGCGGAAGCGGGAGCGGGAGAGGCGAGCGATGACAATGACAGCAGCAGCGGTAGCAGTGAGAAGCGGTAGCGGGAGCGAGAGCAGTGAGCGACGACAATGGAAGCGGTAGTAGCGGGAGAGGGAGCGACGAGCGGTGATAGTGGCAGAGGTAGCGGTGTCGGCGAGCAGCGGTAGTGATAGTGGGAGCGGAGAGTAGCGGTAGCAGCGAGCAGCGAGCAGCGGCAATGGTAATAGTGAGTAGCGGGAGTGGGAGCGGCGACAGTGGTAGCGACAGCGGGAGCGACAATGACGAGCAGGGTTAGGGTTGGGAATTCGTGAGAGGAAGGCTGATATCGGTGCTTTAGTTGGTTCGATTGAACCAACTAAAGCACCGGAGACCGAACCAGACCTAAAACGTTGATTCGATCGCTTGGTTTAACCCAGGCGCTTGCCCGAAGCGCCTAGCGCCTGGGCGAGCATCTAGCGACGCCTCTTTGAAGCACGCCGCCGGGAAATGAAGCGAGGTGCTTGGGCCTCGCCTCGCCTCGCCCGAGCGCCTTGGCGAGCGCTCGAGCGCCTATTGAAATCACAGCATATCACTACCCTTGTAAATAGGATACTACTTCCATGATTCAAACCCTTGCCATCTAGATTGCAAGGAGCAATCTTGTTGAAGTACCAAACCCAACCCTGTTCTTAGATCAGGTATATAATCATAAACCAGATTGGTCTTTATTTATATCGAAATATTTAAGATATCTGTTATAGTATCACTTCTTGAAAATTAAAACCAAAGTCTATGATATTAGAAAGTAAAACATATGTTTGACATAATATAATTTCACTTTTCAGTCTTTTACAATGTCATGCATCACATTTCCACACATTCACTTTTCCACATCATGTTTTGGGCCATTGGAATGAAATGATCATGCAGGTTTTTTTTAATTCTTGAAACTCTAAATTATTAATATGTTTCAGGACAATGCAAGCTCTTTAAAAGCTCAGCTTGATCAACAGAAGGGTGTAGTTGACAATCTTGTTTCGAATACTAAGGTCCGTACAGCACTTACAGTAGCTTTAATGCTTTATACAACTCCTTTACGTTCTGTGGTCATCATAGCTCCTAGTATTTGTTAATGAGTACCTCTACAATTTGATTGATCTTTTAATTTCTTTTGTCAATTTAATCTTGTTTGGACACTTAAGTTTGACTTTGCGACATTTGTTTTGTTGACTTTCACTCTTGACAACTGCACTATTTTTTTATCGTATTATTAGGGCATGCTTTTGCAGGTTAAATATAACATTACAGTTCTTTGCTTGTCCCATTCTGTAAGCTTTTTATGTCTATATTTCTTTGTTTTCTACCAAGGTTTGTAGTTTTTTTCCGTAGGCCTTTACTGGTACCTTTTTGGCATGGTTTGATGCCATTCTTGCCAGTCATCACACATTATAAATTGACCTAACTCTATATCAACAACTCTGGTTTTAGTTATCATGGTGCGTGCCGATACCTTTATGGCATGGCATACTCTAACCTGTGCTGACATGAGGTTTGAATTAAAAGTTCAAGCCACATAAAGTAGCCAAATTTTCTTGGAGCCCAGGTGCTAGACATGAGACAAGGCATGCCTCTTAGTAATGTGACCAATCACAAGCATCAAGATCTACTAACCAATCACAAGCATCTACAATTAAATAATGGATTTATCAATCTTACTTATTAGCTTACAGTGTAAATTTTCATGCTAATTGCAAAATGTATAAACGTGAAAGTAGTAAAAAAGACTTGGAGAAAGAAGTGGTAGCAGAAAAAGGAAACAACAATTATATAGTAAGGGAATGAAAGAATGGAGCATAATTTCAGCAAATTTGATCCTGTGAAAAATCACCCATCTAGTCTCTTTCTGTCTTAACAAAGAAAAAAACTGAGTCAGCTTTCCAAAATGCAATTAAATCAGTCATATGTGCAGAGGTGACACATGATTTAACACTTAACAAAGCCTCAGTATTTGTTATGGCTAGATGTGCAAAATATGTGGCTGCATAAACAGTCCTCCTAGGTGGAATATGGATAGATAACTTCTCATAGTTTTATAAATTCTTACTTTGACTTTTGCATTGTGTATTTGTTATTTTAAACTAGAGCTTATATTTTTCATTTGAAAATTCATTTTTTTTAAAATTAATCACATATGTCTCTGTATATGTTATTACTAATTGTGCGTATGCTTTAGCATCTTAACTCGTCGTTTAGTAACCTTTTAGATCATTAGCTAGTTGGCCTGCCCTCTGAATGCTTACGGTATTGGTGCGATGTTTTTCTGGTTAGTGCTCTTTTGTTGGGAGTGCAATTGCTATTCCTTTAAAATATCCTTGTGGCACTTTCTCGTAGATGATATCTGTAATATATTGTCATAATTTCTGAAGATAGTATGTTATTGTATTTAGGGAAAATGTCTCTGAGATATCCCATCATCTACTAACGGTAGTTAGCATTAATAACAGTAAATGTGGCATTTTTTTAGAACATTGATGCATAATTGCCCACAATGGTTTTGATGAAAATAAACAACTAGTTTTTCCCCCCTGGCAAGCAGATGCATTTGCTTCACTAGTCCTTACTGAAAATTTATGTGGGTAGCATGAGATTAATTTTTTTGGTGTTCGTGTTATGTAGCTTTTGGAGAGCAAGATACAGGAGGCCAGGTCAAAGAAAGACACCCTAAAAGCTCGTGCACAATCAGCAAAGTCTGTTCTTGATCCTGCTTTAATGAAGACATTTAATTTTCTCTGTCTCCATATGATACTAATTGGTTGGATATGACTTTGTTAGGACTGCAACAAAGGTCAGTGAGATGTTGGGAAATGTGAACACAAGCAGTGCTCTTTCAGCATTTGAAAAGATGGAGGAAAAAGGTGGGCTGTTCTGAAATTTCTGATATCCAAGTGTAATTGTCACCTTGTTTTGAATTCACACAAAAATTATTCCGTTCAAAATTGCTAGAGTGACAAAATTAGGTCATTGAATTCATCAAGAATGACCTTATTCTACTGTCTCATGAACTAGAAATTAAGCTATATTTTGGTCATATTGTCATTCTAGACTGCTAGTTGCTTCTATTAAACTTAGTTTGATCATCTGCATTATACAGAAAATATAAATCAAATGATACTAAATGTGGAGTTCTTACTATAGTGTCCTCTTTTAGTAATATTATCGGGTGCAATAACTTTTGCAGACTTAATAGATTTCTAGAAGTTTAACTTTTTTTGTTACAGAAATGCTCATAGTGAGCATGATACTGTAATTTTGATACACCTCATTAATTTGGATTTTCTTTAATCACTGCAACTTTGTCAAAAAGCTTTGCTGGTCATGCACTTGACTTGATGTTTGTCTCGTTGTCTATTGATTTATTGATAGAAACTTAAGATTTATTGCAGAACTTTTTGAACATGATGGTGACTTGTGTCTAAATAACTTTGGTTTTGGGATTAGGGGACATGATGGTATCATCTGAAGTTTGTTGGTAAAATTTTTACATCTTCTCCTTGCAGTTATGGCTATGGAATCCCAAGCAGAGGCCCTTAATCAGTTAACAACAGATGATCTAGAAGGGAAGGTAAAGATGACTTATATTAATGCAAGCAAAATCATTTCAATGTTTAATGCAAATGCTGTTTGACTTTTGCAGTTTGCATTACTTGAGAGTTCATCAGTGGATGATGATCTTGCAAAGTTAAAGAGAGAGTTGTCAGCGAGCTCACCGGTAATGTCTCTCTTGAATTATATTGTGATGAGAAACTTGCTAGACAAATTTTATACATAGCACATCATGCCCAAGCTTTGTTATTAATAATGGACATAAACTATGCCGCATATTTGTTAATTCATGACTCTCCAAATGGAACCATGAGCACAAAATGAGTATTGCTCTCTCAGAATTCATGAGGCTACTGTACATCTGAAAATTGGATTCTCCACCATGTTGTTCTGAAGTGCACCTCACCTTCTAGTGAGGTTTTGCAGATTATGCTGGTTTGAACCAAAACATTATGAGTAGATACTTTTTCCTTCTAAATTTGCTGTTAATACTGCCTTTGTTAGATAAAATCATAAAAGGTTACTTATCATGACAAAGTGGGTGGTGGTTGTACCATGTTCTCCATTGAACATTTCTTGGTTTCCTTTGGAAATCTCAACAGCTTTGAATCATGATGTGTAAAGCCGATTTATACTAGTGTGTCAATGTTAAATATTTTATGCCCACATGTAAACTGCAACTTACTGCAATATTTGAAAACCATGATCCTGGAATACATCCTTCTCCATTAATGTGAACTTGTACTTTTCTGTAGAAGGGAGAGCTTCCTGCTGGTCGAACTGCAGTTAGCAGCTCAAATGCCTCTTCAGCCTTTCGCGACATGGATATCGAAAAAGAGCTCAACGAACTAAGAAGAAAGGCCAAAGAGTATTAGGCTTATCTTTGTATCTTGTGGAAACTCTGCACGTTTGATTGAAATAGAGATATTTAGATTAATCATTATAATGCTTTCTGTCATGCATCACAGAGCTTATGATTGCAATCGATCTCAGTGGTCAGATTTTTCCCGCTTTCGTGTATTGAGGGTGTATGAGTAGCAACATATAGATGCAAATCTTATAGGAACCCTTTTTTATTATTATCAATGATACTGTATATATTTTTGGTCCTATACATGATATCTCATCTCTTGTTCTCAAAGAGTTAGGTCTTTCCTCCTGTGTACATTGGAGTCTTTCATAATTTCAAATTGTCAGTAGCTTTTTTATCAGCAGTTCCTTCATGGTTAGAGAGTTTTCATCATAATAAGACATACCATGTGAGAGAATGACCAAATTTAAGCATGGTTTAGTGTTTTTTTTTTCTTTCTCAGGCAGATAATTATTATAATAGTATGACAATAGCCAGAAAAATTATTTCCAGCTAAGCTGCCATAATCAAATCTTTTATTTTTGACTAAGATTTGATTATGATAATTTGGTACAACAATTTCTTTGTGTCCACAATCTGCTTGAGAATTGCACTCCAATTTAGAAACATTATTTGATCTAGTTAGTCATATTTCAATTTCATTCATTTGCTTTACTATTATCTACATATAGATATTAACTATTGTTTTGTCCAATTGATCTACAAATTGACCCATTCAACAGAGTTCTGCAAATCTGATTTTGTTTCTTTTCATGTAACTGTAGAATCGTACGATCCGAATTCTGCCACGTAGGCATCACGGGTGTACCTGATGAGGCCATGTGTATAAATTCATGGCTCGGGGATGCATGATGGCCCCGTCGTTTTCTACCCCGTTGTGGCTCTTCTCGTCGCTATCTGCAGTTATTTATGTGGGGCCCGTTCAAGCGAATGAAGTTCTAGTCAGGTAGAGCATCGAGTATGCGTTGCATCCGTAAGAGAAGTATTCTTGTAGGTGACATTTGGCCGTGGGCGACCCACGTCTTTGGTCGAGTCGTCCGAACTCCAACCTCAAATCTTCCCACCGACTTCAAAAGTATTTGTTGTCGAGTGCTCGTTCCCTCCCAACCCCCAAATGCCCCCTTCGCTCTTCCTCCTCCCTCGATCCCTGCTCGCAAGAATCCCCTTCCTTCCACTCTCTTCTCGCGCGCGAGCCCTGACGATGCCGGTCACAAGGCGCCCTTCGCGATCCCTCGCATCCGAGGCCAGGAGCCCCGACTCGAAGCTCGACCCAGGTTGTTGTTCGTGATCCCATTTGCAAATCCCTCTCCGTTTTATCCCACCCGTGTGTTGTTTCCGGTAATTTGGCTTTTGCAGCGGAAAAGGCAGCACTTTGGTCGTTGTCTTTTGTAGGAGATGAATCTTTCACCGAGTTACTGAAATGTGAACTCGTTGTCGAACCAAATCGATTACTTATTGAAGCTAAATGCGAAAAGAAATTTTCTGTTGTTCCTTATCCAGGTACCGAATGTCCTGGTGGCGTATCTGATCGAGAAAAGCGTGCTCATCTGAGGAAGAAGAGGGTGAAAAGGATTGTTGAAATCGATGAGAAGCGCGCCAAAGAAGAAGCTGCTGATCGAAAAGTAAGGATCCCTCTTCTCTTTCAAAAGATTTCTACATGGTTTCTTCTTTCATAGCTTTGAATGCTTGTAATAAAGAGCTTCGTCTCTCTCCTTAGACCTCAGATTCTCCTGAGTATCAATTTTCTTCCTTGACTTGGCTTCCTTCTCTCTTTCAAATACTGCTGTAATGTGACTAACACAGTGGTCAGCTCAACGTGTAGGTGTGTGACCTGATTGACATCGAAGATTTTGCATATGATAAGGTCAACCTATCTGCGATCTCCAGTAAGGGCACCTCTATTATCTATTAGTTTGGTTGTGTTATCTTGCAATTTCATCTTGCGTTCACATTACTCAAACAAACTAAATAACCTTCTGTTATATGCTTTGTGTTGTACTAATTATGCTATTTTAAGTAATCCTTCAGATGATGTAAACCTCGACTCTTCTTTCCCTGCTTCTAAGAGGAAAAGTACACACCTAACTGATGAGCCTAAAGGTACTTACAAAAGCATAATAAGTGAGGAAATTTGTGAAGATGCATTCATGTTGTTACTATTGCTGCTACTACTACTACTGATAAAAAGAATTTATTGCTTCAATTATCTGGTAATTCAGGTTAAGATGGCAGAAAACCCAGTAGAATGAATGTTTTGCATCAACTATTTTCCTAATTTCTGAAACTGGTGTAAAATTGAATCTTAATTTTTCTGTAGCTGATGCACCAGCAAATTGGGAAGAAGTCCTTGATGGGATTAGGAAGATGAGGTTTGCTGATGGTGCCCCAGTAGAAACTATGAGACATGAGAAGTCGGCAAGTCTTGTGCCACCCAAGGTAACTAGACTGTGAATTTGTTTAATGGAAAGAACTCCTTCCTCCTCCTCCTCTCTCTCTCTCTCTCAGCTTCACTTTTTTTTTTGCAAGTTAATATGGTGTTTTTGAACAACAAATATAAATTGGAAATATCCTACAAAATTGATTTATCTTATAACACAGTTTGTAGATAATGCTTGGCTTTGTCAGCCCTTATTTGCATACTGTCCTTGTTTTATCATGTCATGTAAAATGATTTTAGTTATGTTTGATATGTATACTGTTTATGTCATTATACCAGGAACAAAGATTTGCGGTTTTAATATCTTCCCTTCTGTCAAGCCAAACTAAAGGGGCAGTCACAAATGGCAAGTTCCACTGTGCCTCCTTCCTCTGGTTTTATAATTGTGCCAACTTTGATTATCAAGGAATACGAATTCATATCTTCAGTTTGATGCAATTTCACACAAATATGATGTTTGTTCACTTGGTAATTCAACTAGGAGTTCAGGTGCCGTACAGCGTCTCTCTGAGAAGGGTTTACTGGATGCTGATGCTATTGTCAGAACTGATGAAGCTACCTTGGCAAGCTTGATTTATCCAGTATATCCTTAATAAAAACTCTGTCAAAGTTTTAGTTCTTTTATCCAATTTTGATCATGGAAGCTGCTCTTTTAAGTATTTAACGCCATCAAATTCACCTGCTAGATAAATAATGTAAACGTCCATGCAGTTCCAAAATGATATTTCTTGTTTAGTATTTTTTTTTTTTGTTCTAAATCCTAGGAGATGCAAAGATTCCATTATGTCAATCATGTTTCATCATACATGTCATAATATCATCCAAGTGACAATTTTGTTGTTGAGATTTAGAAATAGGCACAAGTCTCTCTCTCTCTCTCTCTCTCTCTCTCTCTCTCTCTCTCTCTCTCTGTTTGTGTTCCATAAAAGAATCACTGTTCTTTTCAATCAGTGTTAATTAATTCGGAAACCAAATGAAGAAACTTTTGTAATTTCTGGTATGGGCACACCAAAGTCACCAATTCAAGCCTGCTATTACTTGAAAGAAAAAAGTAGAAAGAACTGTTTTGAAACTGGAAAATTCTTTTTTTGGTGAGTCAATGTCGCACTCCAAGCAATTTGACAGAATCAACTTTGGTGTGGATGGATACCATCCAAAAAGTTTGCTTACTTGACATTAGCAGAAACTGTTGATACAATGCTTGAACTATGTACTACTTGCTAAGCCACAATGGCACACATTTAGAGATTCTTGGCTATCTTATTGGTTGTCTTATTCTCATTCCTACTTGCACATTTAGTATTGTTTCTTAAAGGAATGTCAATAGGGGTGACACTTATTATCTCTGAATTCAGGTTGGATTTTACTTGCGGAAGGCCCATCACATGAAGAAAGTAGCTGAAATTTGTCTTGAAAAGTATGGGGGTGACATCCCTAGCTCTATAAATGAACTGCTTGCACTTCCTGGAGTAGGTCCTAAAATAGCCTACTTGGTACAGCTCACTCTTACCTTCAAACTTGAAATTATTGCTATCTGTTCTCTGATATAAATTGAGTTACTAGGTTATGATTATGGGATGGAATAATGTTCAAGGGATATGTGTCGATACTCATGTGCATCGTATTTGTAATCGACTAGGATGGGTGTCACGTCCTGGCACAAGACAGGTAATTTTACTTGATCATATGATTTATAATCTGACATCTTTTTCTTGATAATCCAGAAACCTGAGAGTTAATAATAATATCTATGTCAATGTTCACTAGAAAACTTCGAATCCGGAACAAACGAGAGTATCCCTGGAAACATGGCTTCCAAAGGATTTATGGGATCCCATCAATCCCCTACTGGTATGATTGCTATAGTTGTCTTTATATTGTCATTACATAGACTTTAACAAGAGTCATCTGACTTTCATATGCATGTTTGTCAATGTGTGTGTTTGTGTTATGGGTATGGGTGCAAAGGTTAGATCTATGGTTTTGTTTGGGTTTTAACTTCAATGTGATTGCTTTTAGATCCCACTAATTCAGATGCCTCCTGCTCATTCACAAAGATTAAGGAAAATATATTAGCATCTACAATGAAGCATTAGAGAAGGAAACCTTCAAGATAAGTTCCCAAACTTGTCCAAGATGAACTTTCTCATGGCAAACCTAATCCGCTGAAGTCTATCCGTGCTTAAGCTTGTTTAAGACAGACTTTTTGTTTAATGCCTCTAAACAGAATCTTGTAGTTTAGGGCTAAGTAGGTCACTTATGTAGAACTTCAACCAAATTGGTTTCTCAAATTGAGCTCTTTTAGCAGCAAATTTTGTTTCATATAAGTTGCTACCATGTCTAGCAAGTTTCTCACATCACTTGAAAATCCCAATCTATTATCCAAGAGAGACGAGATCTGACTACATTGGAAGTATGTGCCATATCCTGATATTGGTGAACTATCTATTGCTTCTTGGTCATGGTCATCTAAGATCACTTCCAGTATGGTCATTTTTGTTGATCATAAAACTGATTGACTAGTTTACATTCACCTTCAATTTCCCCCCCTTTCATTTAGATATATTCTACCTTATGTGGCACAATATGTTTTAATCAGCTCCCCTCGAAATATGAGCAAGCTTTCTTTGTCAACTAATTTATTATATTTAGTAAATGACAAGTTATGATTCCTCTCAAGTTCCATGTATCCACCTAATAAAATCCATTTTGATACCTCTAATAAAATCCAAATGTTTCATGTATCCACCTATGCCCCCACTGACGTGCTAATGCACATTTCGGCATTTGCAACGTACTTCACTCATGTCTACCAGTTATGCCTCCATTATGTAGTAACAAAAGCATTCTAACCACACCTATGCAGTAGAACACATTTTCTATGAGATTTTACTATTTTTTTCAAACTTATGATTGAAAGAGGCAAGCATGCCTCATTGATCAAGTGTGAATAAGTGCAGCAATAAAACTTACTTCTTTCCACCTTCAGCTATAGTGATACTTAGACCCATAATTGTCTTCACAATCAGGTTGGATTCGGGAGGTCGGTGTGTACTGCTCTCAGACCCCGGTGCGGAACCTGCATCATAAATCATCTCTGCCCCTCTGCTTTCAAGGAAGCAAGAAGTTCAAGTTCAAAAGCTAAAAGATCACCAAACTAGAGGACTTCAAACATGACTGATAGCCATTGTTTTTGGTCTTACTCTGTTTCTTAGCTTTAGATCTTGTTGCGGTTGTAAAAGGCCAACATCTCCTTCAAATGATTGTATCCACCATGCATGGGCGGTTGTAAAAGGCCAACATCTCCTTCAAATGATTGTATCCACCATGCATGCTGCAGTTGAATGATGTTAGAAATAGCTACTGTCAGTCATTCTACATGAAGATTCCTCTGAACTTTACTATATTCACATTAATAAATGGTAGCTTCCACTTCTCTAGCTGAAGTTGTATTTCATGTATGTTATCCAAGAAAGAAACATGATAGCTTTAGAGTATGAGAATGGTCATCACAGCTATTCATAACTTAGATTTATCATGATAATGAAAAATTTTACCATACTCATGAATTCGATCTGATTTGCATACTTGTGTTGTTATCATAACTATCTTAATCCCGACTCAGTTGATAATCTATTTCAGTTTAAACAGGTTGAATAATCTATTTTACCATATCATGATAGGCATACTCGAATTTCGCCCTCCAATCATTCGAGGACCAACTCCGGTACTATTTTTCCTACTCATTCTCTTTTTCCCATAAAGAATTAACAGCATAAAAATTATAAAAAAAAATCAAAAGAGTTCAGTTCCTTGCAGCATGATCTTCGGTTTCTATCTTACATCTTACTAGAATAACTCATGATCTGTAGAGTTTTCTTTTCTTTTCTTTAACAATTCTATTTTTCTAAAAAACTATTATTTAATATATGATCTAATAAATTAACTCACTGATCCAACCAGTGACCCAATATAATAGCTAGCCAGTATTTACTTCCTGATATTACCAAACTAGAAAGCAGACAAATCAAGAGGGCAACCACAATGCTAGTGAAAAGAGAGAGAGAGAAATTTCACTGCAGCACAATGACCTGATCAAAAGCTAATATTGACTAAACAAATCTCTACTGTTTCATAATGTGGTTTTGCTTTAAAATGAGCATCAAACACGAGAGAGAAATTTCACTGCAGCACAAGACCTGATCAAAAGCTAATATTGACTAAAGAAATCTCTACTGTTTCATAATGTGGTTTTGCTTTAAAATGAGCATCAAACACATGCAAATAAGACTCATCAGAAGCAGATTGTGATATAAGCCTACGTCACCAACTGGTGCACAACCCTGTTGCTCCAGGCAGAAAAGTCGGGATTTGGGATTTACCTCTAGAGATTTATTGCCAACGCAGCAGCCAAAGATGATGACCACTCATCTTAAATGCTGTACTTGCGATCAATTTCTGACATCTCTTGTGGATTTTAATCATGTTTGCATAAAGCTCAACTGGACATTGATTCTGCTCATCCAGGCAATCTTCATGAGCTTCAGCATGCTTTGTGACAATTCCATCAGAATTATGTAATGGTTGCATCCCTACAATTACCATTGTCCTTTGATGTTCAATGGCTGAACATCAAATTCCTATAAGAAGATGAGAAAGAGGAAATTGATCCTCCACATCTGTCTTGATCCCTTCATGACCATCAAACTCATTCAGGCCGACTCTATTTTCGATTGGAACTCCTTACAAGATTCAATCACATAAATCAAGCCCCTTTTCAGGTTGGTTTAACAACTCAGAACTGCTACTACCATTTCGAGATACATCCATCTTTAAGTAGGGTCTTCGTCTTCTCTTGGAGATATTGCATATATGTCTGTCCAAAGGAGCTTCCATAGATCCGCTTAATCTCAGTGACGCTGAGGCTGTCTTCCGAGAATCATAGCCCCCACCTCTTGTTTCATTCACAATTAGCGGTAGTTGACTTTGGTGTCGGACTGAAAGTTCTTCATCTAAGTCTCTGAATGTCCTTCCTGTTGGCTTGTGGAATATGTTGGCAGATTTTCAACCTCCTTAATTTTGATCCATGAAATACTGTGAGATCGACATTGCTTACATCCTTGGGAGGTGATGGGCAAAGGAAGTTCTCAAAATCCAAGCAGCTATACAAGTTGTCAAATGGCCAAAAAATAGGTTCATCTGAATCATCATCCCTACTCTTGACTTTTTATCTTCCTCACCTACTGAAGTTAGAGAACTAGAACTGGACGACAGAATTTGGAGGTGTCACATGATACTACAAGAAGGGCTGGAAAAATCAGAATCAAAGATGTCAAAGTCGGTTTCTCTATCATATATTAGCTCTGAGTCTTTGCTCTCAAGGTCCAATGAAGAAACCCATATGTCCACTCTAGCTCTGTCCATAAATGTACCAGGCAATGCACATGAACTGTTACAAGATGATGGGTCTTCAAATGAGGTCCTATGTAAGATGAATTGGGGCTTTCTGAATGGGCAACTGAGGATCTCTTCCATCATTTCCAGCAACTTTTATTTGTATGAACTTCCTTCCCTAAACTTAATTGTCCGCTAAGAACTATGGACATGTCACTTATTGGACTAGACATTGAACTATAAGTAGCAAAAGTCTCATTGCCCTCACCTAAGAAGATACAAGGGCTTCCAAATGATGATATTGGAGAAAACTGACTCGGAAGAGAGAGATTCAAACAATCATAGTTCCAAACATCTTGTGTTTTATCAGACCTTAGCAACAGTGATGACAAACTATCCCTAGAAGATGTCTAAGAAAATTAATCTGATCATCAACATCAAGGATTCCTAGTTCTGGTTCTGTGAAATTAACAGCAGTTTTCTTGTGGTGATCTTGAACCAAGCCTGCCTTGTTAGCTCTTGAATCATTTTTCGAAAGATAACGAGAAATACTATTTTCTGATACCGACTTTGTTCTAGGTAAAACCACATCTTTTGCTGTCAGTAAATCTCATCTTGTTCAAGTCAGATGCCAAGATATCTATCTGCATGTCCACAATCTACTAGCCATGCAATAAAGGAATAATTGAATGCATACATCAACCCAATAGCCGGCCGGCTAAGACATATTAGAGGACGAAAACTAAATGACCCAAGCCACACATCAGAATACACTATTGCACGAGAGCAGATGAGCTTGTACAAATTCACAAAAGACAGTCAAAGTTTCTGATAACTAGTTAATTGAATCAAGACTTGCAGAGTTGGAGTTCAGTGACCAAGCTTTTACCTATCCAATATGGTGAGAGTAGGTTCCATCGTCTGTAGTTTGTGAAATTCCAGAACTAGAATAGCAAAAATTATGAACCTTGTCGGGCAATTTGAAATGCAGAATCTCAGCTAAGTCAAATGTAAGCTGACATACAACAATCTTTGGAACCAAGAAATGACGGAAAAATTGTCTAATTTTATGAAACTATTCCGAAAGGCATAGATTACATAAAATAGTTATTTGCTAATGCATATCCATGTAAAGAACCACAAAAGCTTGCATAATAAACACATGTTTTATGACAGGAATAAACCTATTTCAAATTTTTGGTAGCGATTCTAAACATGCCTTATTATTCTAGATAATTTTGCCTAAGAAAACAGTGATAATGTGGAATACAAGAGTAAATTTTTTGGTAGCGGTTCTAAACATGCCTTATCATTCTAGATAATTTTGCCAAAGAAAACGGTGAAAACGTGGAATACAAGACTAAATACTATATACACAGTGGCATCAAACTTTTGAGTCAATAATAGTGATATCGTCTATGTATTTGCTTCCTGGAATCCAAGAGAAATGGATGGAATACAAGGAAATAGGAAAGACATGGGAGGCAAATTTCGACAGAAAATAATTATGAACAGAAGGCTAAATACTATATACACAGTGGCATCGAACTTTTGAGTCAATAACAGTGATATCCTCTATATATCTGCTTCCTGGAATCCAAGAGAAATGGATGAAATACAAGGAAAAAGGAAAGACATGGGAGGCAAATTTCGATAGGAAATAATTATGACCAGAAGGCTAAATACTATGTATACAGTGGCATCAAACTTTTGAGTCAATAACAATGATATCTTCTACGTATCTGCTTCCTGGAATCCAAGAGAAATGGATGAAATATAAGGAAACAGGAACGACATGGGAAGCAAATTTCAACGAAAAACAATTATGACCAGAAGGATAAATACTATATACACAGTGATATCAAACTTTTGAGTCAATAACAGTGATAGGAGATAATTATGACCAGAAGGCTAAATACTATATACGCAATGGCATCAAACTTTTAGGTCAATAACAATGATATTCTCTATGTATCTGCTTCCTGGAATCCAAGAGAAATGGATGGAATACAAGGAAACTGGAAAGACATGGGAGGCAAATTTCGATCAAAAATAATTATGACCAGACTAAATTATTGATGAAAAAAAACCGCAGTACAAGCAAATTTATCTAAAATATTCATAATAAATCAAGACACAGATTATAGCATTAAATTTTAGTAACCACCAATTGCTTCATCTCTCATCCCCACAACAACACTTGAAGAGAGGGCATTTTATCATGAAATTTAACATGCAACTAAGGAATAGCTAGGGCTTTAGAGATACTAGTACAAGGGATTTGAGCCTACTACTTCTTGATCCACTTGAAATTGTAGGGTTGTGTCTTAGGAGCCTAAAAAACTTGCACATAAATGATCTCCAAGAAAGTTTCTGAACTTACACTAAGCAACAAAAATAAAAAAAAGTTATGACTTGTCCTCTTTAGCTAACACAGAAAATAAAGCCAAGAAACTGAACTTGTCCACATTCCTCTTCACCACAAGAAACTTTCCTATATTCCACATATATAGGAAAAGTACATACGCTTAGAAGTATATACCATAATGCTTTAACTAATACATAAAACGAAAAAAATGAGGAACTCATTGGCCAAAACAGTATCAGTAGGGCAAAAATCTCGCCCTAAACCAACATCAGTCTCTTCACTCTCAGAACACGCACAAAAGAAGAGCTTTATCCAATCAATACAGCAAAAAATAGACTACCCAGTGTTTCTTAATGAGATTTGAGTTCGATCAACGGATCCTAATACATCAAAGGCGGCGGATCTTTTGGTTCCAAAGGTGTCTACCCCAAAAGGCAAAGAAAAACAAAAGGAAAATTATGATCGAACCGCAAGGATACATCAAAATCAACGCTAGCGAGCAAAATGACTGCACGATATCATTACCCGAGGAAGAGCTTCCCGCAGTCGATGCGATCTGTTTCGCCTTTCCATAGAGCTCCTTCTGGAGACGGTAATATTCCTGCGTTCAAGATCGAGGTTATCGTAAATACCCTTTCGCACATCGCAATAAGGTCCATCCGATAGAGATCGAACGGTAGTGAGAGCATAAGTACAGTGGCAAAATGGTCATTTACGTGGTCTCCGCAAGAAGGGTACCTTGGGAAAAAAAAAGAAACGGGAAGCGTTAAAGTAGAGGACGGAAGTCTATCCTCCACCATCCGATATTGCTTCAAGTGCCACTAAGAGAAGACATGTTAACGCCGTTAGTGCTGGCTGTCAGATTTCTAGATTAACAGGGACTGACCTCATTTTAATCACAGATCTGCCACTAAAGTGGCGTTCCGATTCGCGCCGAATCGTTACTTGAAGCAGGTGGATTTCATCGACCCGCAAGGTTTGGGCCTAATGATTGGTTCTACATGTGAGTCCCAGCAGTCGGGCCAGATGGGCACCAATAGGTGTCAGGTATACGTTTGGGTAAAGTGGCGGACCTGATTCAGTCAAATGTCACAATTAATACTGGATGGCCCTGATTGATGGATTTGTGATCACAGTCGCCCAGTTGTGATTCGTGATCGAATTATTGACCCAAGAGTTCGTCAAGTCAAGTTTGTTGACCTAATTGAGTGTGGACTCAGTTGCAAAGTAAACCTAATGTAACTCAAGTGCTCGGGTTATGATGAAAGACTTTGGGTCACTATGTCAATGTTGTACACTGTTATGTGCAATATTTATCGTAGATGATTGTTAGCACAAAATGAAGTGATTTGAGTATGATATTATTCATAATAGGTTAAGCTGATTTATCGAGGAATTTTTTTTCTGATTTATTGTCGTAAATATCTTATATACTTATTATTTAGCAAAAAAATAAATAGCTTGTATATCAATTTAAATATTTAGAAACTCCTTAAATTTAATTGTTGATAAAAAAATATTTGATTTAATAGTAAATATTTTAAATATTTAAATATTTGATGTCAGAAATGTTTGAATAGTAAAGATTTTAATTGTTGATAAAAAAAATTCTAGAATTAAATTTAATCTTTTTAAATAAATATTTATTTATCTTGTTATAACAAAGATATTGATTTAATAGTTCACTTATGGTCTAACCAATAATAATAATAATTACGAATATATGGCGGCGTATAATAAACAAGTATACGTATAAAATGCTTAGTCAACGTGGTCAACGCGTCAGTCATGTCGATGGTTCGTTGAGCTAATTAACGGAGCGCGGGAGAGTAAGAAGCGGGAGAAAACGACGGAAGCTCCCGCCATCAATAGAGGAGACGAAGAAGTGCTTCTCCTTCCTCCCTCTCTCCCTCTCCCTTCCAAGAGAGAGAGAGAGAGAGAGAGGGGAAGGGAGGAGGAACCGAAGGAGCGGAACGAGGCAGCAGATGGGGAACTGCTGCTCCGCCCAATTATCCAAAGCAGCCTTCCAAAAGTCCGGCGATCTCCGTTGCCTCTCGGCCATCTCCATCTACGAGTATGACAAAAACGGCGTCTACCACACCCGCTCGTCCATCTCCTCCGAGTTCCGCCCTCCGATCTCCGTCCTCGACGAGCCCAAGCCCCGCGGCGACCTCCTCCGGCGGTACCACCTGGGGGAGGAGCTCGGCCGCGGCGAGTTCGGCGTGACGCGGCGCTGCACGGACGCGGCCACGGGGGAGGCGCTCGCCTGCAAGTCCATCGCGAAGCAGAGGCTGCGGAGCAGCGTCGACGTGGAGGACGTCCGGCGCGAGGTGCAGATCATGCGTGGCCTGCCGGAGCACCCCAACGTGGTCCGGCTGCGGGACGTGTTCGAGGACCACGAGGCCGTGCACCTCGTCATGGAGATCTGCGAGGGCGGCGAGCTCTTCGACCAGATCGTGGGCAGAGGGCACTACACCGAGCGGGCCGCGGCCACCGTCATGCGCACCATCATGGAGGTCGTTCAGGTAAATGCGATACCCTTCTGATTCCACATTCGTGTCCGGAACAACAAGAAACAAATTAGGGTTTCCGCAATCCCAATTTGTCTTTTAAGGTCATCTTGTGGATCAAATCCCTTCAGGATTAGATGCTGTTCTATTCGTTCACGCTCAGCATCTGATGACATGGGTCGAAATTAGGGTTTTCACAATCCCAATTCATCTTTTAAGGTCATCATGTGAATCAAATCGATGATGCCCTATTCGTTCACGCTCAGCATCTGATGACATGGTGATCATGATGCATGATTACCACAGGAAATGTGGTTCTTTTCAGCCGTACTCTCTGTCTAAAAACTCTGAACAGAGTATGCCATCTGCAGTACCATCAAGCTTCCTACTCTTAAAGGCCATGAAACCATTGAAACCAAGTGAATCTACAAGATGGAGAAGAATGCAGAAGGATAAATAGAGAAAAATTAGAATTATATATATATATATATATATGGAAAATGTAGACAATTACATGTTCACTTTGATTATGTGAAGAGGATCAATTAGAAAGGACATGAATAAGGTGCACAACAACCTCAAGGTTTTATGGTGTGGTGTGTTTGGAGAACTTGGCATGTTAACAGAGCTAGAATTTATGTATTATGTCTTCTATTTATTCCCATTTTTCTAATAAATGCATAACAGATATTTTTCTTGCTTGTTTCCTACTTTGTTGTTATGCTTCCACAACAAAATTGCTTATAATCATTGTTTCTGTAGCATTGCCATACGAATGGGGTAATTCATCGTGACTTGAAGCCGGAGAACTTCCTCTTTGCAGATTCTTCAGAAACTTCTCCTCTGAAAGTTATTGACTTTGGCCTCTCTGTAGACTTCAAGCCTGGTAGGTCTATACAATTTTGACTGCTCTTCCTTTTGGACTCACAAAGATGATAGTAATACTGATTGTTTAGCAGCCAAATGATTACATTTTCATAGGTTCAGGTGAGATCTTCAGTGAAATTGTTGGAAGTCCATACTACATGGCCCCAGAAATCTTGAAGAGATACTATGGACAAGAAGTGGACATATGGAGTGCTGGAGTTATTCTCTACATATTACTTTGTGGAGTCCCTCCCTTTTGGGCAGGTAGCTGTTCTTCTTTTCAAAGGAGGCACGTTTTTCCAACAAAATCTTCATTAGCTTTTGGTTTGCTTTTTGATGAACGAGTTGCTCATGAGGATTTTTTTTGTTTTTTTACCTTTTATGCATTCAGAGACTGATGAAGGAATTGCAAAGGCAATTATTAGATCAGTTATTGATTTTGAAAGGGAGCCATGGCCTAAAATATCGGAGAATGCAAAGGATCTTGTGAGATGCATGCTCGATCCCAATCCCCATACTCGGTTCACGGCTCAGAAAGTTCTTGGTATGCCTCCATCTACTATCCTTTCGCTTTTGGAGCACGATATAGACTTGATAAGAGGCCTCATGTCTATGGTTGGAAGATCTTTCCCAAGTACTTGACCTGAGAAGTTCTTTCAATTTTGTTTACCAGAATAACAAGCTAGATATCATTATCCAAATTGTTAGCAATAAGTCACTCATCTCTATATATTCTATTACTTCTAGCTGAGGATGTTTGATGCTTGTCCTCTTCAGAGCTGGCCTATGCACCTAACATGCTCAATATGTGTCCTCTTTAACTTCCCGCAAAAAATGCATAATCTCCTTGATGTTTTGTCTATGCTTCTTGTCAAAGTTATTATATGTTCATCATGAATTATTCATCATGAAATCGTAGTGATGTAAATGCTTTATATTCTCCTGTGTGGATATTCTGCAGTACATATTTTAAGAATGACAATTTGTATGCTTGATTATGTTTTGATCAAGAGAGCCAATATTGCATACAAACACCATGAAGTCGTGTGGACTAAACTTTGTTTAGTATATAAACCATCATTCATTACCTAAATAGCACATCCCGAAGAGATCATTTAAAAATTAAATGGTCGATGAACTATCAGCAAGTATTATCATATGTAAGTGGAAAAAGGGTTCAGTTTTATTTTTCTCTTGCTAATCTAGATTATTCTCGTTGGAGATCAGTACAGCCAAATCCAATTAGTCTGCTTAGTTTGCTGAATCTGCTATTTTATCACCATTTTCTAATCACTGGGGCATCAGCTAATTCCCTTTTTCCATCGACTAATTCCCTTGTTTTTTCTTTTGTACCTTTATGAAGAACACCCTTGGCTGCAGAATACTAGTACAGTTCCCAACATTCCACTTGGCGAAGCTGTCAGATCAAGGCTTAAGCAGTATTCAGTCATGAACAAGTTTAAGAAGAAAGCCATGCTGGTGAGTTCGTGTATACCTTCACTCAGATGGACAACAGGTTGGAAGAATTTTGATTTTTTTTTGTGAAAAGGATTCTATTTATTTATACTTCGATTACACTTTGAAGGTGGTCACTGAACACCTGCCTGTGGAAGAGATAGCTGCCATCAAGCAGATGTTCCACACGATGGATACTGAGCAGAATGGGACCTTGACATTGGAGGCACTCAAGAAGGGCCTCGACTTAATTGGTTACCGAATCCAAGATTTAGATGTCCAGATGTTGATGGAAGCAGTAAGTTCTCTTAAAGGTTTTTGCTTTTCTTGAGATCTTTGTGTTTGTTTACATGGAACTACCTATACTGCATGCATGTTCGATGAGTAAGCATATTTGGTAGCTTTTCCTGTTTCTATAAGGGGTACCAAATGGTACCGAATGCCTGAGATAAAGAGATATCACTGACTATCCACCATCATGTAAAGCCATTACCGTTTCTACCTGTACTTATGAACTTCAACACTGGTTCTAGGAATCACAGAAGCATCTTTGATGAGGAAATTGCTTTCAAAGGACTGTAAGAAGCACCAAAGAAATGATCAAATACCTTCTACTTCAGAAATATGCAAAAAAGTGTATTCATGAGTAGGTTATAAATCATATGCTGATAAACATTAGCTTGTACCCAATGTGGAACTATTTGGATCACGATAACTATGTAGTGCACAAATTGTTGCATGCAAGTCTTTCAGTTGAACTCTTTGTGATCGTCTTCTTCCCACAAAATCATGTTTTTTTTGCCTCTGATCACAGGCAGATATTGATGGAAATGGTACAGTGAATTGCGAGGAGTTCGTTACCGTCACTGTTCACCTGAAAAGGATTGATAGTGAGGAGCACCTTCCAAAAGCCTTCAACTATTTCGACAAGAACCAGAGTGGATACATCGAGATTGATGAGCTGAGAGAAGCCATAGGAGGACTTGAACTGAGTGAGCAAGTGATCTTGGATATCATCTCAGACGTCGACAAGGACAAGGTAGTATCAACTTCCTCATCTTGGGATCCTTCTTTTACGCTTCCTATACGCCTTTTGGCATTTAGTTCGAATTAAAGATATATAATTTGTTTCGGAAAAGCTTGCCATAAGAAAAAAGACTTTGGATCTTACTGGACTCTGTGCATGGGTTGTTCCACAGGATGGCCGTATAAGCTATGAAGAATTTGAGATGATGATGAAGGCTGGAACAGATTGGAGGAATGGCTCACGACAGTACTCGCGAGCAATGTTCAACAGCCTCAGTCACAAGATGTTCAAAGATGGATCTTTGAAGGAACACACATGAGGTCACCTGCATGGATCATGATAAGTAGAACTTGCCAAGTCTCTGACCAATCTTTTGTCTTCTTCTTCTTCTTCTTCCCATTTTGTCCATTACCACACTTCGGATGCTTACAGTATCCTCATAGATTGAGCCTAGTGAATTAACTCATTTCTAATGGAGATGGCTTATCGGAAACTGTACGACCGTGAGACCACAAGAATCTTCTTCTCACATTCATCTGTAATTGAAAACAAAATCAAATAAAATTCTGCTGCAATGAGTGTCAGAAATCTCTGTAATTATAGATCTGTTCGACATGTATGTGTAAATGAGGAGATCAACACCAACTTTGGATGATATCAGACGTCTGGATCATGTCCACCAACTCCGTACGACTACTTCATCCCACTCCATTCAATCACTAAAGACCTATCATTTGGTGTAATATCTATTACAAAGACCGAAATTTATCTCCGAGCTATGTATGTACCAATGTAACGGCACTAATTGTTGGGGATGCCACTGGTAAAGACTTTTTAACTGTTGATAGCACGATCCATGATAATAAGGACAAAATTAAGCTAAATGCTTCGTTTAAGTATAGTGTATACGTTATGGCATATTATAACGTATATAATTGCTAAATCTACAATGCCAATCTTGCAACATGCAAGATTGACATGCCAAATCATGACCTCCACCCGCATTTCATCATACCTCATTTATTCATGAGGATGCGATGATCAGGTTGACTTGTCTGCCAAGTCAACCATGCCAATGATGCATGGCTCGGCCAGCCTGCGAAACGCGTCTCTCCGTCATAACGATCTCAATTTTGGAGAGCACGTAAACAGGATCTGTTCCCAACAGTCAACGGCCTCATCTCCCTCCCCTTCCCTCCCTCCCTTCGCGGACCGCCACCCATCCCCCGCCTCCTCCCTTCTTAAGCTTCCCTTGATCTCTTCCCACATCCAAACCTTTAACCCCGCCCCGATCTGTTCCTAACGACTGCTAAAGACGATGATGGAGAAGGAAGGTAATGAATGCTGTATTAGAAATTGGCTTCGGTTCACGATTACTTACTTGTTATTGAAATGCTGAGATTTGTGTTGCGTCTCAGAAGAAGTGGATGGCAATCAGAGAGCCGGACAAGAAGGCACGATGGATCTGCCATTGCCGGATCCGGGGCCGGTGAAGGAGGACGTGCTGTCGTTTAGCTGCGACCAGTGCGACAAGGAGACGGTGCACAAGATCGCGCAGCTCTTGAACCCGGGGCTGGCCGGGGCCTGCGTCGACAACACCACCGGCCTCTTCCGGGGGCCGGCCACGGTGGCGGTCCTCATCAGGAAGGAGATGGTGGACTACATCACGCCGAGGAGCGAGACGTTCGTGGCGGAGACCATGGCGCAGGGCGACGGCAACGCAGACCCGGCGGAGGAGGCCTCCGACGACCCTGCCGACATCGTGTCCGACATCGTCGACGAGTTCGCCCGCTCGAAGCGGAACTTCTTCAGCCGGGTGTCGGCGTGGATCCTGAGCGACAGCCGGGAGGACAAGATCGACGACTTCGTGCAGGAGATGGAGACGAACGCGTTCTGGCCGATGGACCGACGGGAGGTCATCGCCGAGACGCTGCTCAGGAACGTCGACTTCAAGAACGCCTACCACTGCTCCATGAAGTTCGAGTCGGAGCAGCAGTTGGCGGAGCACAGAGACAGCTGCGGCTTCCGGATCGCGGAGTGCACCAACGATGGGTGCCGCGTCAAGTTCTCCGCCGCCCACCGGGAGAAGCACGACGCGGAGTGCCCCTTCAAGATCCTCCCCTGCGAGCAGAAGTGCCCGGAGAGCATCATGCGGCGGGAGATGGACCGGCACTGCATCACCGTCTGCCCCATGAAGCTGATGAACTGCCCCTTCTACCAGATCGGATGCCAGTCCGCGTTCCCGCAGTGCACGCTGGAGAAGCACTGCGAGGAGTTCCTCCACTCCCACCTGCTCTACGTTCTGCAGGTGATCCACAAGCAGGAGGTCTCGGAGGAGGAGATGGAGCAGCGAGCGCAGCTCCTGGAAAAGGTAGGTTGGTCTCCTGTTCTTGTTCGCCTTCTTCCACCTCATACATGCATGCATCCCTGCACTACAGAAATGACTACCGTCTGTTTTGGTCCTTCAATCTCACACGCAGAACATTTAACTATAACATCTATACTTCATTTTAGTTTGGATAGTTCTGCGAAGTATAAATTGGCCAATCATTCGATCTGTTCTTTGCTGATATGAACCAATTTAATCATCAAAAATATGTTTTATCAGATTAACTGAGGCAGGTCTAATGTCCGTATCTTTGCAGTCAGAGTGTCAAAAAGAACTGTCTGAAGCATTGGATGTGAGATCTCTTACCATGGCAGTCAAGGAGCAGGAAGCAAAGATGAAGAAACTTGAACGTGATCTCAGCATTGCTAGCTAGAATCTGGGATGTCTACACCTGTGAACAACAAAAGGATTCGGTTTCTTTTGTCTTTGGGAATAATCCAATTTCCAATCTTTATTCTTTTGTAGATTTGATGATGCTCGGAAGGCAATTCACAAGAGTTTTCTTTCTTTCTTCTTTCTTTTTCTCTTCTTATCAATAAATCACTTCTTGATCTTCTACCGACATTGAGACATTGTTGAGCATCCTTGAACACCGAGATTGTTCATTTATATTTTCTGAGGGAAACATGAGCAACAGCTACATCAGTGAATCTTAAAGGCAACTGCTGTAATCCACTAAATGTTCTTTATTTAGAATAGGATAAAATGTCTTCTTGATTTGATTTCATGAGCACTGAAATGAAAAATACACATCACAGAAAAAGTTCAAGAATAAGAGATTTGACTACAGGTGAGGCCTAAGTATTTATGAAGCTACGGTGGGTGCTTCTATATCTGAGCCCACAAAGAGTATCACCACAGACCAACTCAAAGACTACTAGAATTCTTTCACTATTTTTCCAACAAAAACTTTTTTATCTTCTTCAATGATATTTATGAAGATTTAGATCAATCCTATAATCAAAGTAACTGTGCATTACACAACATGTTTTATGCATTATTAAAAACTGAATCTGTTTATGACCTTGATATCTCATAAATTCAACTTTCATCATAAAGAGAACAGATTTGATGCCAGATTTTGGTCTAGAATTTAATTGAAAGAAAATTAAGTGCAAGTTTGAGTAGATTTAGTCTCAATGTCAATTTCAACTTGAGATAAGATGATCAAGCTGCATAAGAACGAACCTGCTTGTCTTCTCCAAGTCCACAAAAGATCGACTCAAATGCAAAACAGCAAGTTTGATTTTAAAATCTTCGGCCCAAAGTTTGTCACAACTGTACAATAAATGATCAAAGATTTAACAAGCTAATTCAAATCTAATTCAATTACATCCTTAGAATCTCCCACCAATTAGCATGAATTTAACAATCCATCCTTATGCATCATGCCCCAGACTACGATGGATCCTACTATTGAAGAAACATTGTGAAATTACTCTACTAAACATCATGTAATTAGTCCTTGTGAAATCACTACTAAATGTCAACTCTATTATATGAGGATCATGTCCCTCACTACTGTCAGCTCTACCCAATCATAATAAGGAAATATTCATTGCTAAAACATATATATATATATATATATATAACAATTACCACAATTTTAAAGCACATAGTGAAGTAATATAGGCAAACAAATTGAATTCCAGAAAATGGTTCACTATAATTCACCTGTTCTGGGCATTTTTGTGATAAGGTAAAATCAAATCAGGTAGGATGATTCAAAATGACTAGCAAATTACCAGTCTTATGTGAGTTCACCACAATGTGACATCAGATGACACTGTTATCTCCGCGGAGGAAACGTGTCATACCCTGAAACCATTGTTGGTCATTAAGTATTAGCAAAAGCAAGCAAAATATCAACATAAATCAGCAGCAACAACAACAACTCACAAACCATAAGAAGGAAGCACGGATCGCAGCAACACGAGGCAGTAAAGGGCACAATACCTGAACACAATTTGCAACGGAGACGACAATGGTTCAGTTCGACTGGTTTTGACTCCAAATTCGCGGGTGAAAGGAGAGCAGAGAGCTGCATCAGGCGAGAGAGAGAGAGAGAGAGAGAGAGAGAGAGAGAGAGAGAGAGAGACTCGATTTGGGGATGAACTCGACGAACCCTACGACGGAGGTTTCCGACGGGAATCAACAAACGTGGGCGCTCACAGGGGTTTTATAGACCCATCATAACGCTATATCGGAAACAAGAAACCGTTACGACGCGATGTAACGGTTGTTGAGGCCAGCTATAAACTCGTCGAGTTCTCCGCAACGTGGCTAATGACAAGTATAATTACACTGCTAATTATCGTATTTATATTTCCAATTTGACTCGTGTATTAAGTTGTAACGTACAGTGTATCCCGGCACGCTATTAAGATGAAAAGGAGGCCGGCGGTGGAGGAAGAGGCGCTTCCATATGCCCTTCGATCATCATGATCACGTTCTTCATCGAAGGCCGGAAGACGGGCTGTTCCTGAACGCACCAAAGCCCAGCTCTGACCATCCTCGCCAGCTCCGTCTCATCCATGGCTTCGTCCTTCTTCAACCTTCCGAACTCATCATCAACCAAGCATTCATACGCCAGTTCAAGGAGGGTTTCGCCATGGCCGGCCTCCTCCAGTTCCATGTTCCTCCTGCAGCATATGATCTCCAAGAGCACAACTCCGTAGCTGTAGACGTCGGCCTTCACTGTTATCGGCGCGTTCTTGTGCCATTCCGGCGCGAGGTACCCCCTGGTTCCTCTGATGCCCGTGTAGGTTCTTGTTTGGTCGGGCATCAGCAGCTTGGCCAGCCCGAAGTCGGCGATCTTTGCGGTCCCGGTGGCGTCCATGAGGATGTTCTGAGGCTTGATGTCGCAGTGGATGATGTGGTTCTCCAGCTCCTCGTGCAGATAGTGCAGTCCCCTGGCCACGTCCAACGCGATCCTGCATCTTTCTCGCCATGTCGGCCAGGTTTCAGCCTTGAAGAGGAGATCCGCAAGCGAGCCGTTGCTCATGTACTCGTACACCAGCAGTCGACTCGAGCCTTGGTTGCAGAAGCCGAGCAATCGCACCAGGTTCTTGTGATGTGTTCTGCCAATGGCTCTCACCTCTCTCTGGAACTCCCTCTCTCCTTCCTCGACCATCTTCTCCAGTCTCTTCACAGCAATCACCCTTGCTCCATCGGAAACCGTTCCCTTGAACACCGTTCCAAAGGCTCCCCTGCCCAGCTCTTCCCTGAAGTTCTCGGTGGCTCTCTCCAGCTCTCCGTAAGAATACGATTTCAGCGTGCTGTAATCATCAGAACCAGAGTTATCAGAGTCTGGCGTCCTAATGTATCTTGCAGCCCTTTTACGTTCAAGGAAGAAATATCCAGATATGGCGAAGACGATGACTGAGAGGCCAGCAAGAACTACACCCACGACCAAGACGTCAACACGCAGTTTACTCTCCCTTTCGTGAACCACTGCTTGCTTCCTTGAAGCTGCGACCTTGAGGAGCAGCGTGTCGTTGCTGCCGGTCCTCCCATATCTCAAAGGAAGCATCTGTTTATAGCATTTATCCTCTATGAACAACGCCGCCTGGCAGAAGCAGTCGTTCAAGCATGCGGCCCTGCACGCATCCAGGCTCGTCGTGGGCGGCAGAATGGAGTAAGCCTTGTTGACCCACGTCGTGTTCTTCACTGTTACCATTGTCAAACCTTCGTCCCCAACATCGGAGCTTTTCGTGCTGCAATCTCCTCCTGATGAATTCCGGGCGCAACCGAGTGCGATTTGGGTTGGATCGACGAAGTCGAAACCAGGGGGACAGAGGCAAACAGGCTCTTCATCGGCGTTCGGGCTGCAGAAGCTGTTGAGTGGGCACACACCTCTCACCAAACACCGATCCTGCAGTGCTGCCCATTCGACTCTTGTCGTCGAGCTGCCATTGTTGGAGAAGCTGTGAGAGTAAAGCCGGAGAATTCCATCTACATCGACGATCGCCCGGTAGTAGACCTGAGTTCCACTTGGCGAACCAGAAGATGCCTTGGGCAGGCTAATGTTTTTGGAATAGCTACCGTTGTCGCCGGACAAGTACAGTAAACCAGTGCTGTCAAGATTGAGCGTGAGCAGGAAGCCAATCTGGAAGGTGCCTGTGTCCCAGTAGGCATCGTCGGCGGTGTCGGATGTGTCGACAGGGTACAACACGAGATTGGCATCGTTTTGGTTGTGCAGCCGGTACTTCCCGGTGGACCTGTCAGCTTCCGATAAGCTGGAGAAGAGCTGACCATCCGGGAACAGGCTCTGCCCAGGTAGAAGCGTGTCTGTGGGAGAACCAAAAGTAGACCAAATGATCGCTCCATTGGAATTGTACAGGACGAAGTTCCCAGTGTCGATCATGGCCGCCAGGGCGGCCGGCTCGGAACCTTGTGACACGGCCTTCTCCACCCCACCGGGAGCACTCCAGAGAAGCCGACCATCGAAGGTCAATCTGAGGTAGCCGTCGGTGATGGGGGGATCGTCCCGGTTAGCTGTCCACACCACGGTCCTGTTAGGTGTGGTGGTGAGCCAGACTCCGACGGCCAACCCTTGTGCTTTGGGGTAAAACCCGAAAGCAAAGCGGCCGGAGGGGGAGGGCCAGGAAGCACCATCGGAGGCGGCGACGGAGGACCCCAAACTGACGTTGGTCTGTTTTGGCTGAGCACTCACAGTAGGAGGAGGAGAGACCAAGATCATAAATGGTAGCACTGGGAGGAAGAAGGGAACCATGGATGGAAGCAGCCGCCACCAACTGTGGAACATGACGAACAAGGCGCATTACAGGAAATGCTGATGGATTGGATACATGGGGGACAATAAAATTTTGCTTACTGGAATGTCCTTTGGCCATGTTGCTTAGTGTCTCAGCTCCGTGCAGTTTGGATGTATGTGGGATGGGGAGCAACAATCGACACATGTCACTGCACGAATCAATAGGATGTTAAAATAATTCAACTTGACTTGCATGCATGACTTAGTGAAGCTGAAGCAATAGCATACACATACATACAAAGGCTACAATATATTCTTTGGAAATTGGTGATACAGATACAGATGTGTCATCTACATTAGAAGGGCAACGAAGATGTTTTCAAGGGAGAAATTAGACACTTAAGTCGAATTTAAAAGAATGTTTTATTTAAAATATTCATAAACTTAAACTTTATTATTATTATTATTTATTTTATAAGAATGTTCACCCCAATTCTGAACCCATATCTAACCTGAAGTCTTCTTCTTTGCAGTTCTCGAATCATTGATCTGTCAGAGAGAAGTTAAACTGGTGTTGCATCATGTAAACTCTCAGACGCCGGATCAAGCACGGCAATGACATGGAAGAGGTGCTTGTTACCCAATACCACCATTGTTGGTAACAAAAAATGATGGATGAAAATGAACTGCTACCAGTAAGATAACTTGCCTGAGAGACCATCAACTTTCAACACCTCAAACTTGACACTCATGGAATTGCATGTCTTCTTCCTCCAAGAAGTATCTGCGATCAATAGCAATGGTGAATGCAATCGTCAGCAAGTTTTAAGATCTATGACTTCCATGAGGTGGAACAGAGAGATACAAGACTGGTTCTCACAAGACCTTGTTGACATCTTTCACCTGCCATGCCGTGAACCTCTCTAATCTTGATGTTGTCGACTTGAGGATGACATAATCCAAGGCAATGTCCTAGAGAAGAAGAAGAAAATTTCAAACAGAAGAGATAACATTAATAGGCAAGTTGAGAACCTCAGAGATCTTCTCAAGCTTCTTTACATCTGCTGTTAACAGAAGTATCATTCGATAAATCTTGATCTGGCCTCATTACTGCAACATACGCTGAATACATTATGCATGCAGTTTTAAGCTTTAGATATTAAAAAAAGGTAACATTTTTTATTCAAAAACGAGAAAGAAAACAAAGTAGTTTATCCGTCGTGACATGTCAAAATAGTTAATCATGTCACACAATAAATCCTACACATAAATCTTAATGACATAGGGTTGCTTAATGGAATGTTAAAACCTACCACTAATGATTGATAAAAGCATTTACAAATAGAACAGGTCTAATGCTTCCACCCTTTTGAGAAGCCTTCTTCAGTGTAAGGTTCCAAGAATCCAATGAACTGAAACAACGGAGAAAAAAGAAATTGCAGCTGGTTAGAATCGATCATTTTGGAGATTCCTACAAGATTAACATGATATAGAGACCAAACTGACAGAAAATTTGATACACACATGTTTTATATGTGTGTGTGTATTACATGTCCTCTTAGTATTACTGAAAAAGAGGAGGCCAGAATCTGGTCCTTTATATATCATATGCTTCACATGTGCCTCATACAGCAGTGATTAACAGTCTATTCAATGAACATAGTGAAATTTCATTAATTAAGATATGTTTGTTGCTATAGATCAATGAAAAGAGCATAACTGGAATAATCTACCAAAGAAGAATCTAAGAAAAACTTAACTTCAATATCATGATAAAAGGTGAAGTCTAACATTAAGTCTCTTTTCTTAATTTTATTTAAAATTATTCTATTCAAGTTCTTGAACTCTCTCTCCTCAAATTGTTTCTGTGTATTGCAATATGTCATATTAGTTATTTGGTATAAGAACACAACTCATGTAACAAACATGAAAAATGATATTGAAGACATGAATAATGATATTGAATACAACTAAAGTGAACTACCTTTAAACCATCTTTAGACCAGCGGGCACCAAAGCCTTCAGGAACTCTAATCTCGAAGACAGGCCCATGTGGTTGAATTAAGTGAACATTCATCCAACAGCAATTGTTCAACAAATGGTTGACTGCTTCCAGTGCCAGCCTGTTTTTATTAGATTCTAAAGAAGAAAGGAATCAGCAAATAGTCATGGCAATTGATAAGAAAAATTTTATCGACCAAAATGGAGCACCAAGGAGGACACACATACCACTTCCAGAGAGAACACCCCACCACCCACTGCTGCTCCTGTTAACATGCTTAGACAATGCCCTTGCAGCATCAGTTAATGAACAACCTTCGACCTCCAGCAAAATAAGATGTCAAGATAGTCAAATGACTATGCTTCTACAGGTGCATCTTATTGTCGAAATGGAAGCATTAATGAGGATCAGAGAAGAGCAATGCATGATAATATCTAGTTGCAGAGCAGTCACCAACAAGAATATATCTGACTCATTATCTACTTTAATAAACATACTCTTTGTCTTCAAGTTCTAAAGACCATCGTCCAATGGTTGATTAAAAATTCAGGCAGGATTTTCACAGGAATGGAAATTTTGCAAGACATTTCAAGGCCAGAAATGTGAAGAATTGATTGCTAACAACATTAATAACAATGCAGCTGAAGGAATAAATTAGAAAATGATTTCCTCTACTAGGGAAAGTGACAAATAACTCACAGTTGGCCTAGTAGGTTGCATAGATGATGATATCAACAATGATCGTGGAGGAGGTAATGCATCTGGAACTGTTCCCACAGTGTGTGCCATACCAAGAAGGCCAGCAATGCCATCATAACTCAGTCCCTGACTTAGATATGAAAATGCAACATGAGGTCAAATTGAGTGACTCAAGGCTCATAAAGAAGGCTCTAATATAAAAACATTCATGATTATTCTTGTAACTTTATGAAACATGGATACATGAAAAATGTTCATTGTACTCATAATGAGTGTGCGTTGGAATCAAAATTCATCAGCTATTTGTCAAATGTGTCTTCTCAGATGTGACAGTTACTACCATGAAATACCAAACCAATTAATAATTAACTAAAAATTTAGATATTTTCAAAACATTTGGGATAATAAGGACTTTGTTTTTCTCAAATGTAAGTTTTTTAATGATGGACAAGATAAATATATGATTCTAGATTGTTGTATTATGTCATTTCTATTGAACATCAAACTTTTGTTAGTAACATTAGAATTAAAATGATGATTTCATCATTCTTCCTACATTATAAGCCATTGTTATCTTTTCGATATATCTGGGGCATCATGTTAATTAAAAGAAACACCTTTCACAAATATATAGATTCAGCTCTGGATCAGCTTTACTACAATAAAATACTATCATAATTCCATCAAAATGCCCTACTCTGACAAAACTAAATATAGCAAAGTATAGGTGCATGTTGGTTTTCTAGTTTCTATCCCTACTATCAGAATCAATTACAATAAAATTATATTTGATTAATAAATAAAATTGGAATTGAAAATCATCACTCACAGAAAGAAGCTTGGCTAAGGAATCATATGGTTGGGTAGTTGGTTTTGAAACAGAGATAGCCAAGACACCATTAGACATTTCCTTCTCTTCTGTATAAAACTTGCGATATATTTGAACTCCTGAAAACAAGACAGTCCATTTTTAGGTAAAATTGTTATATTCATCTAGTGTTAAAAATGAAAATAGTTTAAAAGTTAACATTCAGTGCTGTATTTATAGAATCTCTGCAACAACCTACTCAAGCTTGTGTACATTATATTTACTTGAAGAGTAAACAAGCTGATTCCAAAAGCCTAACCATTAAAAGGGTTTTAATGGAAAAGTCTAGAAAAGCAGTTCCATGAGCAAGATTAAGAAGAGTTTCCAAAGCAGATGCTGTAACCTGGTATAAGATTTTTACTCCCCAGGTGTCCACAACTTAAATTTGTTATATAATCATATAAGTAATAGTAATTACAAATAAAAACTTTGGCAATAAAAGTGAATCCTTGGTTCATGTAGATTGAAAATATGGGCGTGATTTGATATCACATATAGCTTTAGGTATCTAGAAGATACCAGCAACTTAAGGACCCTATAACAATGAAATCTGAGCCTGGCTTTACCTAGAAGAAAAGATCGACTATGAGGTGCATTGATGATATTGAGCACACCTTCATACATGATCACATCAAAAGAGACCATCACTCAATTTAAACTATTAGAAAAGATGAAATTATTACCATCATCAATTGTTGCAACTCCAGGAAGGACTTTAGCAAGTGTCTCTGCTTGCAGCATCTCAGAGAACGAACTATAGCGATTAACATGCTGCAAAATGACCCCATGAGTCTTTAAATCAAAATAAAAGTAATAAATATTCTCTTTTTATCCTTTACATTTCCGAAGTAGAGTTATTAATAGACTTTCAAAATGGCAACCATGTTTATCTGCTTATATAATGCACCATTATACAGCACTAAGAATTGTATGCAGATATGTTAAACCCAAGACTTGATATGTAGAAAGAAGTTCACTTAGTAGAGTATCAAGGATAATGTAGCAACTGAATAAAAATAGAATCAAATAGAAAAAAAAATAAAAAAGCAACATTGTTCTTGTGTAGTTGCAGAATTATCAGTTCAAACGACATCCCAGAATAGTTAACAAACTAACTGATGGACCAGAATTAATGCTACTCATGCCATGCACTAAGCATCAGGAAATTGGTTTTTCTGCATAAAATAACAACTAGGGTTACCAAAGGGGAACAATCTTTAATTAAAGCAACACCCAGACTAAAGTTTTTCGTAAGTCTCAACAATGATCAGCAAAGTGCACTTCATAAAATAAGTACAAGTCACACAGTAGAACAAGTATCTGATAGTTATGTGAAACAGAATTAACAATATTACCTGAACTTCAAGCAAGAGGCATTTGTTGAAGAGAATCAAAGAACCCGGTACCATTCTGGTCAAAACACACCGGAATGATCCAAGTATAAGAAAGAGAATAATTTTGGAAGATTTGATGAGATAGTGGGGTATCTATCTCACTTATGAGAATAGAAAAGACTTTATGGCTTCTTATAATATTAGGAGGAGGCTAATTATGTCACATGCAAGTTTATTAAAAAGATTTATAGTGAGAAGTCACTAAGATAAAATGCAACATATTAAATTCCAACCACTCTGGCTGTTATGCAAAATGATCTGCACGAGTATGGAGAAATCCACTCAAGGAATACATTGAACCAATGAGGCTACTCCTAATATGCGATCAAAGTAGATTTGACTAAAGAAGCATTGGAACTTCTACATTTTTTCTCTAACAGAAACTGAAATTTGGTCAGCTCAAAATTTTATCTTTGTTCTTATTGTAGTAGAGCTGCAAGATAATCTCCTTTCTTCTCCCTACTCTTTCGGGAGGCTTATTCTCCAACTCGAATTGCAGAACACCCTAAGAGGGTCATATTCTATTTCAAGGAAAACAGCAAAGGGCTAATTTTAGATAAATTTCTAGTTAATTTCTTAGTTAGAAAAAGTTAAACTAATATTTTTCTTTTCTATGATTATTGAATAAATTTTGGCTTTAATTTTTAGAAACCTTCATTTTTAGGTTTGTTTTGTGCATGGATTCAAATATCTGATGGTCTGATGCATACTGACTGGTATTTACTGACCAAGGAGTGATATCGGGCCATATAGTTCAGTACTAGTCGGTATTATATTTTCATTATTTTTTGGATGATATCAGATGGTATGGATCAGTATATTGTCGAATATATTGGTAGACATACAGGTTTAGTAAACAACCGGAGCCAGTATTGAACCGAAATTAATCCTTACTTTCATGTTTGAGAGCCTAATATGGCTAAAATGTAAGTTAGGCAAGTTATTTACCTATTATGAATCATATTTTGAGAGTTTGAAAATCCTCTATATGCCTTTGACCAGTGAATGATTACCTTATAACTCATAGCTCCAACAAGTATAGGTACTTGAAAGACTTTAAGTCATACTGGAGACTTTTGTTATCTTTGTTATTACTTAATAGAAGTAATGTAGTTAGTTAATCCTAATACTTCTGTCTTGGGGACTTGTTCTCCTTCTCGAAGCGGCGAATACCCTGATACGAAGGTCTTAGTTTAGTTTCTTTCTAAACTTGAATCATTTCTCTTATTAAAATATTTCAGCATTAATTTTACACTTGATATTGCCATAGTTAACATAATTAATGATTTATTTTAAATGCCCTGAAGTTCAATTAATAATGATTATTTTTAATGAAAAAAAAACAACCATAGTTTGCCTCAATGGGTGTTACAAACCAAACCAAATTTTTGCTTAAAGCTTCTAGTCAGCTCCTTGGGCTAAACCTAAGCATTTGACTTACAGATTAGAGACTCAGTTAACTGTTAACTGAGCTCGTTCAGCTCATTAACGCTCCTATTTCTTGCTATATATTTGTTGGATATATGTCAACAGAACTAAAGATGCAGTATATAATAGAGAAATTTGGTCCCATTTTGCAATAAAATATAACTACATTAAAAAATTACATATCAATCAAGAATTAAAATCCAAAACTAACAACAACCATCACCACATTGATTTACACTAATCTTTACTTTTAGATAAAACTGACACTTAATAATGATATTCTCTGATATTTATTCTACACAATGTCCATCCCCTTTCTTGTACAAAAGTGACCACCAAGCTTTTTTAAACTTAAGTTTCACCTCTGCTTACCAATGCTCTGAACCTAAAACTGCCCCTCCCATATCTTAATAAAATGTTTATAACTATAAATGAAGGTACAGGATCTTATGGATAAAATATATGATGAAAAAAAGAGGACCAGTAGACATTCAGGTCATAGCTAAAAGTATCAAGATTAGGTAAATCAATTCAAAGATGAATGCATTTTATAATCTTACCGATTGTAATTACCAACAGCACATCTGCCTTCAACTGTTTTCAAGCAAGCTGCAGATTTATTCTGGTTAGTCTACATGGTTAGATAAATTAATTTTAGTTGGAAGAAAGTAATCAAACTAGCATAATAACTCCCTGCAACGAAAAGCAAAATGGAAGTTGCTAATACAATAACCTAACAGGAAGTTTGGTAATGCAGAACATAAAAATATGTAAGTCTAAAATGTAGTAGGTGGACAAGAACAGCACAGTGAAAAAGAAAAAAAAAATGTTGCTAACACAATAACCTAATAGGATATTTCAGCAATTCAGGATGTAAATATGTGCAAGTCAGAAGGCCCCAATTAGTTATGGTATGCTACATGGATCTTTTTCGGCCACTGAGTTCTGTTAATGCTAATTTTACTAGTCAAACTCAGTGTCAACACATCTCTTTCTGATGTTTCTAATAAAATTCTTTTACCTCTTATCACCCCACTAACCCTAATTGATTCACCACATTCATTTGGTGCATTTTATTGGTCTCCTTCAGACCTCTCAGTAGGAATCAAGGTCTGTCATACCGAAGCGTACCGCCCATATCAGGCGGTACGTACCGGTCCGACAGATTACCGGTACGCGGACCGTCCGGTACCGCTACAATGCTATAGTATTATACTGTAGCACTACTACGGTGCTACAGTACTATACAGTAGCACTACTACAATATAAAAAATATAATATTCGGTACACCAGGGTGTACCGCTCGGTATGCCCTGATGTACTGTCCGGTACACCGGTACCATACCATACCGAGCCCGGGTCGAAACGCCGATATGGTACAGTACGGCGAACCTTGGTAGGAACTATTCCAAATTGTTCAAAAATGCAAATATTTGTTATTCTATGTTTTTTAATAATCTCAGAGATTTATCTCAACAAGTCATCTCTGCACCACTAAGTTTTCATATAAATTGTTTTCCAACTCAGCACAATGCACAAACAAAAGACTACCAGTCTTACCATTATTTGAATGTAATCATGGCACAGTTGGATTAGTGAAGCCACAACAAAAACCATATTGGAATTAAATTTCACAGTGCAGAAAAAATTAATGAATAAACTACAGAAACCATGGAAGTTTCTAAACATATCTCCCAGATCAAAAAATTTGAGACGCTTTTACAAAGATGAGAAGTTTGTTCATAAAAGAGTATAAATTGGTGTTACCTTTATGTTAGAATTAAGTTAACAACAGATTGCCATTTCCATCTCGTCCAAAAAAAATATAAGGAGCTTAAGCACATGACCAATGGGAACTCAAATCTTCGTTATCTGTTAACCAGTTCTGAAATGTTTGCCTATAATTCAAAAACCATATAGTACTTTCATCCAAGGTTTGCCATGCCACGGTATACCAATCGATATGAGCGGTACATATCGGTCCGACAGTAGACCGATATGCAGACCACCCTATATTGAATGGTCAAGTTAAATTAATAAAATATTCAATGAAATGATGGGGCCCATGTCCAAATCAGCATAAAAAAGAAAAAGAAAAAAAAAAAGAGATTAGGGCTCACGAATGCGAGCCCTCTTCTTGCGTAAGGTACTGCCACCTCGCCATCACCGCTTTGCCTCTACTGCCGCTGCTACTTCGCCATCGTGTAAGGTGCCACCGCCTCGCTGTCATTGCTTTGCCTCTGCTACCATTGCTGCTTTGCCATTGCATAAGATGATGTTGCCTCACCGTAGCCGCTTCCCCACTGCTGTTGTTGTCGCTTCGCCATTGCGTAAGATGGTGCCACCTCACTGTCGCTGCTTCCCAGGTACACTACCGTTGCTCTTTTCCTCCTCTTCTTTCTTCTTCTTCCACCACTTCTTCCCTCTTCCTTCCTCCTCTGTTCATCTACCGCTCCCTCAACTTCTCTTTCTTTTCCTTTGTCGTCAAGCCACCAGTATGCACCAGCATACCATGTGTCTGTACACTAGTACAGACCAGTACGTACCATTCCAATAGTTTGCCAAAACAGGTCTGATACCCAAAAAGGCAAACCCTGCTTTCACCAAAAATCTTTTTTGCTGTCCAATTCAGCTCTAAAATTATTGATACTTTTTTATCTTCACATCTCTGTTTTTGATTATTACAGTTTAAACTTTAAAGCATGTTTCATTTTGACATCAAAGATATATAACTTGGTGAGGAATGTTAAACAATTAATTAAACTTTCAATAGCATTTCGTGTAAAAATTTATGGACGGAAAATGATTTGTGATTGACTGAATCTATTCCATGTTATATTCCGGAAGGTTGGCATAATGAAGCTGATACTCTTCCAGATAGTAAGTAATCAGTATAGAAAAAAGGACATTGCAAAAACCACATTGGTTCTGCCATATCATAACTGGTATAGACAAGAATCCATTGCAAAAGCCCCAGTGTCAATTGGTAAGGAAATAATCCCATAGCTTACCAGTAAAACACCTTATGCTCAATAATTTGATTATCATGTCAATAACCCAAGAGAAAAACAAACATCAAAGAACAAATGTGTTAAGATTGCATGCAAGTATAGAAAATCTGCTTAAAGAAGTAGCATTTTGATCAGGCTTATCAATTATCACAATCACTTACAAATGTTAGACTTAATGTGGCCCAGACGACATTTAAGTCTCATGTGATATTCAATAATAATTTAATAAATTTGTTTAAATCCTGTTAGTCAATGAGGAAGATAATCCTTCCTTGAATTGTCATATTGGGCAGGTGGGATATGTCTCTATTCAGAATTAGATATACTGATGATTCTATAAATAGAATGTGGTTCTTCGTACGTCAAAGAAAGGGAGAAGGGAGAAAAAACAGGTATCTATAAATCGAAGGCATGTTTTCAATTAAAGTATATTTTGTGAGATCATCAAGTTCTAAGGATCATGGGATTTATATTATGCATTATGATGTCTCTTTTTGCATAAATAGAAAGGCTTACAACAAATACATCCAACTTTGATCAAATGCATGTATGTAAAGGGGGAGGGGGACAAAAAGGAAACAGCTACCTCTCAATTGTGAGAAGAAAGGTTCTTGAACATGGAGTTCAAAATCCACAGCATTAAACATCTGAAAGAAACAAAGGTCAAAAGACAAAAGGATACAATCAATTGAAGGACAATACAAGCAATAACAGCAAACAGAAACGAAATGAAGACATTGCAATAGCATGGCTTACAGATAGCAATTCTGATCCCTTATCCAAGATTAGAGCATCCCAATCACTCTCTTTCATCTTCACTGACTCGTCTAGTGGAATCGAAGCCACGACGCTGCCCGCCGATCTCGAGAAACTTCGAGAGTGGATGCATCGTCGTATCGCTCGTGCCAAGCGCTTGTACAAAGGATATGGCGGCGCTCCTCCACAAGTATTCTCGCTACCATCTTAGAAATGTTGCAACAAAGGGATAGGGATTAATGAAAGGGGACATCACATCAAGTGATGGATCTCAAGAAACGAGGGGAAAGAAACGTAGGTACCGAGGGGAAGGGGACTAAGAGGGGAGGGTTCGGGCTGGAGGAGGCGGGAGCAGTAGTCGGGGGAGAGCGAGAGAGCGAGATGGGGGTCGTCCGCGGTGGGGGAAGCAGCGAGGGAGAGGGTGAAGCGAAGCAGCTCCTCCATGTGGTCGTCGGAGAGGTCGATGGGGGGAACACCTGGAGACGGCGGCGAACCAGTGGTCTCCGGCGGAGCCACGACTGTGCCTCCTCCCTCCATGCCCACGCTCTTCCGCCGCGGCCGCCGCCGACTTCGTTCGCGGTGCGTCACCGTCCCAATCGATGTTGTCCTGAGCACGTGCAAAGCGCACGCGATGTTCATGTCGAAGAGGAGAAGGTGTGAGACACAATAAGCAGTATGTCCCGCAGAGGGCCCCGCTTTTCCACCCATAACATGGCAGGTAAAGAAAAGAGTATTGCGAACTCTTACCCAAACTGCACTAATCAACACAATAGACACTGATAGCATCAAGATTCGTGACGAATCCATCAGATCTATATCGCTTGGTGTTGGTATTCTAATCAACATAATAGACACTGATAGCATCAACATAATAGCTTCCACATATGGTATTAGCATTTGAGTGTACATTAACTATTTTTGGAAAAAAAAATGAACTCAATATTTGAAGGATATGTTGCAAGTTATAACATCAAACTCTTAGATATAATACTATCAATTCAGCTCTTAAAACATAAATAATCACATTGCATGCAATTTATAAATCAATTATTTGTTAGTGGGTAGATATTGTAGCATATCATTGGATATTGTAGCATACCATCTACCCTCTAACATGTTTGCAATCCTCATTGGCATCAACAAGTTTGTTTCTGATATCCAAAACAGTCAAGCTTCATTTATTAACTTCATGTGAATCCAATGGAATATTAATGAAGTTTTATTTTCACTAAATGCAATAAAATCCTCAAGGAACAATTTCTCTCACAAACACCCAACTGGTGTGGTTAGAATCCAACACTGCATGAGAGTTAATATAGAACATTTATTACAATTGGATGTCCACTGGACAACCAACAGAAGGTTATACAAAGATGCAACAAAGCTGTAAGCTACCATTTACATAATCCTAGATACTGCACAGGATTTACCTAGAGAACATTTATTAAGATCATTTGCTTAAAGAACAAAAGAACAGGTCACCGGGAAACACTAACAAAGCATCTACTCTAATATTTTACTACAAAGACTTTGAGCATAAACCAGATAAGGGCGGTGTCTTTTTATCTTCTGGCTTCCAACATCGATATGCAGGTTGAAAGAAGATCCACATTTCACGACTGCATAGGCACGGTCGTCCTGGGGAGAATGGAGTCAGCTAATTCTTCGTTCATCTTGACGGGAAGTGGTGGCATCTGCTTCATTATTTCCGGCATATCGTTCAAACTGCAATACAAGTTTTCTGAGGTTTAAAATTTCTGGATCAAGCATATGATGGTATTCCTTGTGCTCAAACAGAAGAATGAAGTAGTCAAAAAGTTCTTTCTAAAAACTAAAAGACTTATGGCAAAAGAAATTATGGAAAGTCCAAAAAGAAATAACGAATGCATCAGATGATGTCATTATATGAAAAGCTGGAGAAACTTTCTTAAAGAAAATTCTTTTTAGAGTATAATGGAGATAATAATGATGAATGTAACTTTAAAAAAACAGTTAACAAATGAGGCAGCAAGTAGGTAAACTAGTTAGTATAAACAGACTGCTGTAGATGAACAAATAACTCTCTTGCAATGTAAGACAATCATGTATGACAATCTTTCCCACACAAAACATGTAAGATAAAAAAAATGTTCCTCTATGGTTGCAATGTAGGCAGAGCTGAGGAAGATCACAAACTTTGTGCATATGAAAAGACTCCCATCTTGATGCTAGTTAACTTGGAGGGCCAATAGAGGTGCTCTCATTATCATTCATTATGGTCCAAATGGCTTATTTTGTGAACAACTATATATAATGGGCCTTATTATGTAGTCAAAAACTCAACCAAAATTGACAATAGTAGAAGTGTAGAACACACCGAAAAATAATTGCTCAAATTGACCCAAACCAATTCTTTCATCTTCAAACATTAATCTGTGAAACCTATCCAACAATCAATTCTTCAGACTCAAATGCAGATCTTAACAATGTGAAGAAGTGTGCTAGATCTGTTGAAAAAGAAGATGAAAAAACCATCCAACACTCAGTCCTAACATTTAATAGAAACCTTTTAGGCTTCATTTATCATTAACCACAGACCTCACAAACAAATTGTTGTTTCCGTTTCTGCATCAACCCCTATTTTTCATTTATTTATCTCTTGCATGCAATTAAACACTGCATGTCTGCTGCAGCAAATGTGCCAAACTGCAGATTCGTTATGTTTGCACCATCCCTTAATCTTTATCCTACGCCACCAGGATAAGGTGCATGTAGGACAAACTGATGCAACTAGGTTTTGCTCTGATCTAGAATATCAAGAATGATTAGACAATTGTTCTATGATACTTAGAGCTAGCTGTAGGTTTAGGTACCACATGTAGGATGACAAATTTAATAGGGAATAAATGAATGAATTACAATAATGTGAGTCTGCTAGAACTACCTTTAGATTCAGAATAACACGTATCATGTTTGATATTAATGAGAATATATAATTGACAGCATATATGATGATAGTATCATGTAAGAAAAGGAGAAAAAATTGCAATATATGACAGCCACATTATACACAGAGAAAGAAGCTATTAGCAATTTAGCATCATATATAAGCTCACACAAGAGGGTGAGCCTTGGAACAATGGTTCCTTAGCAATCTGGGAGACTAGGCGTCGAGTCACGAAACGAGCCACTTTAAATATTTACAAGGTTATGTACATTGACTCTCCTCAAACCCCGCATTGACAGGAGTCTCATGCACTGCCCTTTTTAGATAAGCTCACACATAATGGGGATGATTAAAAAAGAAGAAATAAGATAAAAACACTTAAACTTACTCTGCCAAGATAGTAAGTATGTTGTCCCGTGTTTGGCAAAGTAGACTAATGTTGTCTTGTACCTGCAAGGGAATAAGACAACTCAATTTTAATATCTGTCGTTGTCATGTCATCTGAATGATAAATCGTAATTTCATAGCACCTATTTGGATTTACATCCATGAACGTGTCGAGAAAATAATCCATTCTGTTAACTCAATATATTCAGAAAAAACTTATAATTTATAATTTTATACTAGAAAAGGTGATGAATTGCAACTCAATTTTAACGTCAATTAATTCATGAGTTAAGTGCTGCAGGCTTCAATAAAATGCAAGAGAAATATGAATATGCTCCTTGTAAGTACCTTTAAGCTAGCAAGATTAGCAGAAATTTTAGTGAAGGCATCTGCGTTACTCTCAAGGAGCTGCCCAGTTCGACCACCAATTACTACAATAACAGAAGAAACAAACATTATCACCTAGCCTGTATGAGATCACAATATGAACAAAGGCCATGTTAATATATCTAGGAAACCCAACAAAATATTATTTGGAACCATAGCACGAGGTTCGAGTGTAAATTAGCACAGAAGAGAGAAAAATGCTAGTTTCAGTGCAATACGAAAGCTAACAAAAGAGTTTAGCAGTTGAGAGAAAAGCCTGTAGCATCGCAATTAATGCAAATCCAATAACATATAGCAAAGGAAAGAAATAGAACCTTTATATGTAATGCCATCATCATCCATAGGAAGCATGGGCAGTGGGTATAAAGGAGCATTAGGAAGTGATCCTAGATGGGTCGATGGTTTTGCTAAAGCATCTGTGACCCTCTCCTGTGAACAAGAAAGCTCTTGTAAATATTTGATTGAATGAATTAGCTAATATGGTTTCCAGAGGTTGTAAAGAACCATGATAACTTATTTATTCCTGTCAAATCCTCTCAGACAGATTGACATCTTGTCAAATTGCTTCACAGATGTATTGCATCTCTTCAACTTTAATATAAAAAAAAGATAAAATTTGTCAAACATAGACATATAAAAAGCTGAAACTTTGTCCTAAAAAGAAATTGCTGATATTTATATTTCATGTAATTGCTGTTCAATTTACCCAAGGATATATTAGAATATCATCTTTTATTTTATCCAGATATTCAACCAATGCACAGTGACAAAAAATTGAAATTCTTCTGCATGTGATGGATCAAGTAATTCTGTCTTGACACAGATCAGAAAATACTCATGGGCATTATTTAACTAGGTCAGTGAGTTACCATTTTAGAAAGTTGATCTTTTCAAGTGAATTATTAAGGAACCATTGGGCAGCAAGAACTTATGCCAGAGAAGGTTGGCACTTCATCCTCAGTGTTCTTCTTTTCTAAGTAAATAATTTGATAGCTGAAATTTTGGTAAAAAAGAGGCAATTGTTTCCATTGTACTTAGATCAATTTATTGGTGTACAAGCAAGTAAAACAGGTGGATGTTAGATGTGAGTGAATAAGTATGGTGTTTACTGTTTAGTATAACTAAAATGCACACCTGGTTGCCAACAAAAAACACAAACATTATTGCAGAAGTTACAAAGGCATGGGTGGGTTGAAATGTGTGGTAAGATTTAGCTTCTAAATTAATATGTATTCGTACTTGTATGTCCTGTAGGAATGAATGCAACCAAAAGTGTAAAAACACAAATATAGGTGATTAGTATGGTGATGTTAGATGTGAGTGAACAAGTATGGTAATTAGTATAACTAAAATGCTCACATGGTTGCCAACAAAAAACACAAACATTATTGCAGAAGTTACAAAGTCACGGGTGGGTTGAAATGTGTAGTAAGATTTAGCTTCTAAATTCAATATGTATTCGAACTTGTATGTCCTGTAGGAATGAATGCAACCAAAAGTGTAAAAACACAAATATACAGTTATTAAGAAATGGAAAATCAGAATTATCAACAAATATGCACCTTTTTATCTTTGCTTTTCTTTGACAAGTTATGATCTTCTTTTCTTCTCTTGCCACTCTCCTTTTTCTGTGGCACCAAAAAACTTGTTTAGTTTTATTCAAAATAATATTTCTATACAAGTAGAGCATTTAATAAACAAATAAGCAAATATGTGTTCCATTTTGTGAATCTTGATTTGCTTTCATAGAAAAAATAATGCATCTCAAGTTATAGAAGCCAACAATGATTAAGAATTTGTTAACTTAACCAAAGCTTGAATCCTCCAAAACTGCAAAACTGGTTCTGAACTTCTTCAAGAACAGTGAAAACCATAGGAAAACAACCTAGGGCTAATCTTACTCATCATAAGATTTGCTGTTTAAAAGTTTTTGGAGACTATGCAGCTTAATATAAAAAAGTAAACACAACATCACAACGTACAAAATGACACACATGAGATAGAAACATAGATCCGCAGATATTCAATAAATAAAAAATTGAAATATATACACAGGTTTCAGATGACTTTCATACTTCACCTCAAGTAATGAACATAAACATTTCCTAAATTCCTACCATGAACCCATTTATCATATGGCATCTTCAAACATAGAATTATTTGAGACCTTAATTAAATGGAAGAGCAATTTTGCAACCATGAACCAAGACCTATATTAAGGTGAGTCTCGAAAAAAATTAAAGACACATCCTTAGTCCATTTATGTGGTCAAACAAATCTCAATCTATGACCCACCAGCCAGCATGTGGAAACTGGTAAACATACCTATATAGCCATACACCATATTTGTAGGTTTCCCTTTCCAAAGCTTTCAAATATTAAAGTAAGTGATATAGGAATAATTCTACGTAACATCTGTACTAATCTTGCTTTTCTCATATATTTAAGCAATTAAATGACTTATCATAGACTATCTAGTGGCAATATCTTAATTTTTCAATATTCTAGTGTATAATCCACTTCCTTTAACTTCAAAAATGTATTTGTTTCCATCTTTCGACGACAATAAAGACGTAAACCTCAACTATTTGGGGTCGGCTACATAGATCTTTTATCACCATGCAGATCTGTAAAATGTCATATGTTTAGTGTATTTACTTTAATATTTATTTATAGTTTCTATTGAAATCTTCTTAAGTCTTCCTCTATATCTTCTCATACATTTGTTTCCATCTTAAACTTGTTTATTTTTCTTCTACTTCAGCTTCTGTGTATTTTATCTCTTTGTTGCATATTTTATGTCTACGTTTTCCAGTAAGCATCAAACTGTTGGAATGTTCAAACCATGTTTCTTGTCACTCAAAGCAATCACAAGCAGTCTAAAGAATAAATGAGTATACAAAATATTTTAGCATGATTTTTGTGCATCCTCCAATAATATCGTCTTCCATCAAATGTGCAGTATCCTTACCTGAACTTGCTAATTGGTTTCCTACTGAGCACATAATCAGAATAAATTGATAACTAATGGATGAATTACTCTATGTAACATCAACATCATGTCTGATAATCCAGATTCATTACATGCATGTCCATTTTATCTGCTTACTTTATTTCACCCAGGAATTTTTACAAGCAAATGAAATATAAATCAAGTTATAAAGTGTCAGTTAGATGATTCAGAGGCAAATGTTTAACTTCACATTTTAGCAGTGCCTTTGATGTAACACCAATAGGGCATATCATTAAAAATGAAGAAACATAAACCATATTGACATGATGGATAAACTGCCACTGTAAACATATCCAGTGTGAGGATAACTTGGTTAAAAGGAATAAATGCCCAGATATGAGTCATCAAGTATCAACCACCAACAATTAACTTACAGTCATCCATCTGCATCTCAGGGCCACGTCACGAACTGTCTTATTCGGCAACAACATGGCAATTTTTGCATAACGAATTATACTTGATTCAGATGCATGTCTGAAAGCATATCCAATAAAAAACTCATGAGCTTCTTGCTTTATTCTGATAAGATAATCTGATAATAAATAATATAAAATAACGATAAGTGGATACACCTTGAACATATATAGACCATATTGCAACTCAAACAACAACAGGATTGTTAATAAACTTAATGAATTAACTTTAAATTTTGTGCAACAAGCAGATATCAGATATCATCTTCTATAATTTACAAACTCTAGTACTGGAAAGCATTAGTGGGCTTGTATGTATAAGCATACATTGGCTGATTTGATTCAACTAATTTCAGTCTCATTATGTGTTTATTTCAACTGGATTTTCAATTTCATAAGAGCAAAATTTGAAACAAAATAAATTGAAGTGACAGTCAAACTTGAGATTAATTGTTAGCAATAGCATACTGCAGATTATTATAGTGTAACAATTGATACAGGACAAAAACAACACATGATATCATCAATACTATATTTCTAAGGACCATGGCTTTGACCATGCTAGTAATGTGAAGACATAAAACTTATTTTCAAAATTTCTACATGTGATATGGCGCTATTAGAAAAGTTCTGTCTTTCCTTAAACTTCTATTTCCATCTGCTTCACATTATTTAAGGTCTTCTAGGACTTAAGTAGGCATCCAAGTCAGAGAGGACTAATGGATGATGGAAAGAAAGAAATATCACTATTCTAAAAGTCCTTGAGTGGAATACTCTTTAATAGCTTTGATCAGATCTATATGTCTTTTCTACACCCTTCTGCACTTCCGCTGCAAAGGAGTGAAGAAGAACATTGCTGTATCCTGCTGCACCTTCACAACCAATAAGGAGAAGATTAAAAAACAAAAAGTTTCTTCCTTCAATGCAACTTGCTGCATCCTAAATGAGGAAGGAAACACTCAACCTTGCTGCACTGTACAGAATAAGAAGCAGCAGCAACTTATTCCTGCGGCACTCTGGAAGAGAAGGAAGAAAAAGCAGCCGCCTCTCCTTGTTGCACTCTAAATGATGTCCCTTGGGCTTCGGGTTCTCAATGCTGAAGCCAGCACCTGTCAGTAGGCAGATGCCATTCTGATTGGAGAAGGAAAGTGATGGTGGTAGGAATTTGGAGATCTCCATCTTTGTGGAGGTTAGTGGGGACAGGAACCTGGGCTGTACAATGGCAAGAACCACAAGCCTTAGACCCACCCAAATCCTATTCTTAAAGTTAGCAGACAAGTTAATAAAAAGACGGAGAGGTGAATTACGGAATTAAGAAGTCGTTTTATCGTCTAATCTCAAGCATATGGGACTAAGGAAAAGAGTTAGTTTTATGATGCAAATTTTATTGGAGGTGTGTAACAAGATGTCAATGTGTGCTTTTGTGTACCTGATTCAAATAAATTATAAAAAAAATTGATAGATTATGGTGAAAAAAAAAGGAAGAAACAGAGAGTTGTTGTGTGTAGATGTAAAAAGGGAGCCAAACTCTACACTTGACAACCCGAAATTCCTCAGATAAACTTCTCCTATCATTTTGTTTCACATTCATAACCCTAATTCTCACTTCAATAAAAAAATTGGATCCTATGCCTGCCAAAACTTAAAAACAACTTTAGATCTAATATGAATTGAGATAAGGGTAAACCATTCTAGAAATTAGCAAAATATTTCCAACAAGGAGATAGGAGAGTAGCTTTAGTATGTTTGATTTTACTCCATAGTATCAACCAATGGCAACACAGTTCCAATAAAGCAATTTACTCAAAGGTACAGTGGAAAGTGATGCTGGGCATAACTTTCTGAAGTCAAAATCTTCCAATGTGCTCTCATGCAAGGCAACAGTCCAGATAATCCTTCCAATATCTCAAGTGCTCTTCTAACTTATCATAGTGATAATGACATAATTAATGCTACAAGACAAATGGCAACTGCAACACCTTGAGCCACACTTCACATTTCGAGCTCTTCAAGGTAACCGAGGAATCAATCTCCATGCTAATTTTGAAAATCAATGTTCCCGAACAAAATACCAAGAACACTTCACATCAAGCAGATAGGTCCTCTAGCTCATTGTCAATGTTTTTGTGTCAACTGCATGGCCTAATTAGAGTAACACATGAATCTGATAAAACGCCTTACTTCCTGATAGTTTGGCACATGTTGATGATTCCAAATGCAAGTCTTGCAGCTGAGTTGCACATTCATTGGCTTGCATTTTGTATGATCATATGACAAAGTAAATGGTAGTTTATTTACTGCAAACTAAGAAAAATCATAAGTCTCCTTAAAGATTAGACTTTTGATCCTACACAAACATGACCCAGCTCAACTAGAACTTAAGATGATCTTTGCTCAACTGGACCAAGCCTAGACGTTTTTCATGTTCAGCTTGCAGACACACCTAAGTACCTAACCACAACCTAATTTTAGTCTTAAAATGGACAAAGCCACATCAATATAGTACAAAAGCAACCAGTTCTGCTGTTTACATCTTCTTACAAGATCAATATGATAACGAGTGCAATGTGCCAAACACAAGAATGCCACAAGAACATGAATGTGAGTCTACAAATCCATGCAAGATCTAAGAACAGTTTACGTAAGTGAATGAAATGAATGCAAAACCTACCGACATGAAGAAGTCCAATAAGAGTGCTAGTTAAGGCATATTTGTTTGGACAGTAAATGACTAAATTATGAAAACAAACCACAAGCTTTTAACAGAAAATTGCAAGTTGGATCACATATGTGTTAGAATTCACTTCTGTAGAGAGCAAACATATGGTTGATTTTCCTGATAAACTATGATGAATATGGAAGTTTTGGACGTCAGAAATTTAAATTTTCAACAGAATGTAACGGGGTGTAAACATTGACAGCTGAAACTTGAGAAGAAGAGTTACACTATGTATTATACCAATTTTGTGATCATGTAAGAAGACACTCATTCTACACATTAATTTTACTTGTGGCCAGAAAAGAGGAGTCTAACTCAGTGTTTAAACTTGTACAAAAGAATGAATCCAGAAGATTATCTGGATCTCTAGTCGGTCAATTATATTGGTATCACCTAACAGGGGCAGTTTTCAATACTTCAATTTCAAAGGAAAAGTTGAAAGAAGCTGTGCACAAACGGAGATTATTTTATCACAGAGGTCCTAAACATTGTACTAAAAGTTTCTTTAAAAAGCCAACATTGTACTACTGATCAAATTGATATGCCTCCGGTAAGGTAAACCCTAATCAATCCAATATCTCTAGCATCTTAACACCTTCTTCGCCTCGAAGGCCATGCTTGGCTGAATGATAAAGAAATCCCACTCCAAGGGAAGAAATTAAGAATAGACAATATCAAAATCTCTACCGCAAGTCATAAGATTGAATTAAACGGTTCAAAATCCCACTCCAAGAGGAGAAATTAGCATCTGAAGCTGATTTTTTTAGTCTTTATTCCTTAATTTCCGAAAGTAAAGAAACCTTCAAAATAAGAACCAAGATACTAACTTGTCGAGTTCTTCTTCCAAGATGGCCTGCTCTTCCGGCGACCAATCCACCGACAGCCCGGGATTATGCTTCAGCGCCTGCGCCGGCCCTGCAACCCCCGCTGTGCCGTTGCTAGGTTTCCCCGGGCCAGAGAAGCCTCTGCCGCCACCTCCATCGGCGTCCGCCCCCATAACAAGGGGAGCTCCCCAACCCTTCTCTCTCTCTCTCTCTCTCTCGGCCCCCGTATCTTCCTAGAAACCAGGGCTGGTTTCCGCCAATTCGACCATAAAGGAGCAAGCGACACCACCAACGAGTTCTACCTTAAACCAGGTGAGAGGAGACGAAAGGGAGCCGATAAAAGAGAGGCTTTGGAACTCTCGAGGAAGATGATTGAAGGGGAAAATTGAGATTTTGGCGGCGAAGTCTACCTCAAATTGGTCGAGAGGAAGCGAAACCGTATGGAGAAGAGGAAGCTTTGGGGGCTTGATAGTATTATTGAGGGGGCCAAAAGAAGATTGGAATCCTCACTTCCTTCCTCCTTATTTAACCCTTCTTCCTCTTCCCCCTCCTTTTGTTATTGTTCTATGGGAACTGTCCATAAATGGAAAGTGGGGGCTCCCTTTGTTCTTCCCCTTTTTCTCTTGCAGCCATTTGTGACTTTGGGAGCTATTCAATGCTTGAAACAAAAAAACAAAAAAACAAAAACAGATTGTTTGACAACAAAAAATTAAGCTTGAGCAGTTGATTCATCTGCAAGAATGGGCTCAAAAATCGCTTTCTTCTGGTTTGGAAATAAAAATCAAAAATAGCAACTTGTCAAAATTAATGATTCATGACATATGATTGAATTAACATTCTTCTTTCTCCAACAAAGGTTATCAGAACACTTTTCAGGATTGGATGTTCCTTCACCATGATATTATTATCATTCAACTCACTTATCAAAGGTTAAGGATTTGGAATCTCATCTAAACATATTTTATATTTAAAATATTAATTTGATAATAATATATTAGATTATGGATCAAACATTAAGCATTCAGAATCTCATTTGATAAATTACTCTCCTGATTGATATATGAGACAGACTTGAGATCATTGTCAAGCACAAGTAGACAAAGTGGTCAGCAATGGAATTGGTGTGGAATGTCTCTTGACTATACAGCAACATGGAAGAACAGTATGTCCTTATGGCTCTCTCCAGTCCACAGAGAAACCAGTTGGTAGAACAAAGCAGCTCAAAGCAGAAAAGAATTGACAGAGATTGGGGGAATATATTGTTTGAGTAGCAGTCAAATGATTAGTGGCTGGTCCACTATTTTTGTTTGCCATTGCTGCTAATGCCCTGTTGGACCTTTTCTCTCTCTCTCTCTCTCTCTCTCTTAATCCTGAGCAAAACATGGACATGTGGAGACACTTACAAATCAGATTTGATTTTAGGTTTACACTTATAATTTTTTGATGCAGTAAGTTATATCAATTTTAGCAACATCTTATCGCGACGACGGAGATAAATTTTATTTATCCGTGCAAGGAGGGATGAGTTGAGTCGATTAAATCTTTTTCGGATTCATTCGAGACACCAATAATATAAAAATAAAAAATATATTAAACATTTTTTTACAACGAGTTGTGTTATCCAATATCCTATTGATACACTATATTGGATCCAAATTAAGATCAATAAACATCTTATACAAATACTTATAATGTAATTTTATGATAATAAAAAGTCCTATTTGTATGAAATTTCTTGAATCCAATTTTTTATATAGTTATATTAGTGGGAATTAAACAAGATGAGACATACAAATCCTTATGTTGGATTTTCAAAAAATATACTCTGAATTATCTTTTTCCTTAATTGAAGTTGATTTATAATAATATGGTATGGAACGATACACAACTCATATTCGTTCTACAACCAATCAATAAATATCTTATTTCATATAATTATGGATATTTAGATAGATAAATATTTTTATATTATCCTTCGTTTATATTGAGAGATAAGTTGGTCGAAATATAGATTATCGATTCAAAAAAATTATGTCTCGTTACCCTTTTAAGATAAGAGTAATAAAAATAATATCTCGAGTTGATGATACTATACACATATAAATATCAAAATAAGTGAGATAATTATTTTTAAAAATAATATTATAATTGCCTCATAAAATTATAGAAAAAGAACAAAAGATTGGGTCTGCAACGACATGGTTTGCGATTTATCGTTATATGTGCAGTCAAATCGGTATAAATGAATTAACTCCCGATACATATAACGGGGACCGTTTTATTCCATTCGCCAAAGGGTATTTCGGTCATTCAACACGAGCGCCCAAATTGCGACACTAGGGTTAGGGTTTCCTTCCTCCTGACATCTCTATATATTTGTTGCCTCCGCCTGCTTCTTGACACCCTTCATAGAGTTTCTGTTTCTGCGATGTTTTGTGTAGATCTGTCTTTCGATTTTGATGAGATTGCGGAGCGGAGAAGGATTGTTCGATTGTTTTTAAGGGTTTTTTTCTTTGCTTTTCTTTGGATCTTGCCCTGTTTTTCCTTTTGAGTTCGGTCGAGATTTGGGAAGATGAATGGGAAAGGATAAGGAAGCCAATTTGCAGAGCGGAAGCGCCGGATTGAGATGGCGATTTCTGCATTGAAGGTTGGCGACAACGAACTTATCGCAGTTCTCCGTGCCTCTCAAATTTTTCTCTGTTTTGATGATGGCCTCGAACAAGCTGCTACATTTCCTTCATTTCATCATCTCGTACGACCATCGGCTTCGTTCTTGGATTTCTCTTTGAACTTGTGATCGGTTCTTCGACTTGTGATTTTTTTTTTTCTGTTTTCTTGGTCCTTTTGATTTTGCCATGCCGTTAATTGGATTCTTGGATGCCACAAGGGTCCTTCCTTTGGCTCGACTTGAATCAAAGTTGGTGGCTTTCGTTGTTCGATTCAGTCCTTTCTTTTCTTTGAGTTCAAGAAATAAACACTATCCTTAGCATCAATCTCAAATCAGCGTGAGAAATCTTTGTTCTTCAGGAAAAACTCGATTTTCTACTGGTTGCTGTCTCAAAGAAACCGAGAAAAAGAGAAGATAAAGATTTGTTTTTCTGTGCTTTTGCACAGAAAAAAATCGAAGAATATTTTTTGATGCTTTATCAGAAAAAATGATCTATCAGAAAGTTTGATTTTTACTTCAAAGCGGTTTAATTTGGGTTTTTTTAATGATCTTGTAACGTTTTTGTTTTCTCAAATGATCGATTTATTTTTTTGATGCGAGTTGTCTTTTACCTTTTCGACGGTCTGTAGATCTTTCATTCATTATTTTCTTTCCTCTGTTTATGGATTATTTTGATTTTTGGATCGGTCAGTAGATCAAGTTGATTCAACCTAAAGATCTTCAATGAGTTGCCTCTTTTCATTTTAATTTTCACAATTAAATATTCAATGATATATAAAATAATATATAACTTCATTACATTAATCATCACATGCAGCAGATAATAATTTAATTAATATTATAATATCATTAAATATGTAAAGTATTATCAGATTCATTTGGTGATTAAAAATGTCATTCTATATGTATCTTAAGAAAAATACATGTAAAGTAATCTAAATATTCAATAATATAATATCATACAATTTGAATTGGTCCATCTAAAACCTCATGCCATATTTATTATCCAAACTGCAACCTCCAGCAATTAAAATAATTTTAGTTTCTGAAAATGTAAGATCAATTACAAATATATATGATTGATCTCCCAAGAAAAACCCTTTTTTATGACTATACCCAAAAGCAAACATGTATATATTCCAGTATTTATAAACAATCAGGTAGAAATTATTGTAACCTCAATATATATATATATATATATATTGTTTGGGCTCAAATAAAGTAAAATTTGATGAGTATATAATTTTAATTATAAACAAAATTAATAAATCATTTCGTTAAAATAATAGTCTATCGAACTAACAGAGCAAACTAAAATAATCTTATTTTTTAGAAAATATGTTCT